AGTTCGTAGAGATAAACGGTTTTATTAATAGTCNCTACTTATATCGCCAACCTCGTGTGTTCCCACAGAACACCCCCATGGTTGCTATAAGTAAGTTTATTACCAATAAACCAGAGCCTCGAACAGATTCTTCATTTTTTCATAACCTCACCTTCGTCATCGGATTCCGGTAAACTGATTATTTTCTTTTCCAACCGTCGAATCTTTTTCAGTAGAGGAAGTTTATGTTCTCCTTTCCTTTTTATTTCCATTATTTCGAATATTCAGTACAAAAAACACTCTAAATAACAAATTTTTCACGACCGCAAACGTGACGCCATTAAACACGGAAAACCGAATGAGTTGACAGGTATAGATGGCGTGGTGGGACCTAGGTACGACTGCGTTCAGAAATATTTTATTTTAGCTTTAAAATTGTGTGACGCCAGAGGATGTAAGCCGGGACTACACTAGTTATCTTTCATCATCGAGGACGAGACAACAACGAGCATAATTTAAAATTTAATTAACTAACCCTTTATAAGGCAATGCGATATTAGTCCCACTATATTCATGACCATAATCGATTGTCTTAATTTCCTCCAAAAAATAGATGACTCCGTTAAATGGTTAAAGAATCCATTCATTGAATGGCCCAAACTAAAGAAACTGTTAATTTTAAAAACTATAAAATAACCCAAAATACTTGTATAATTTTCTCGGAAAATTTTGTTCAATAGGCGAGAAATCTTTATGTAGAGTAAGAGCGGTTGTTAAGTTCTAATCTCACGAAACTCGTTAATCTCCTCCTAACGCAGGCATGTAGTACTTAGCACATTATCCGTTCAAGGACTCTATTAACTAGATAATATTAGAGCAATAAATTACTTCGCGAGGTATTAATAAAACGTAGAGTTCAGCAGGTTTAGAACGACCACCTTAATAAAATCACAGCTTAATCTAACTTTAATAATAATTTACAGTAAAATAGACCTTTCAATTTACCGACAGTAAAACAGTAAAAGAAACAACAAAATTTAGTAGGTACCAAGTAAAAAATAACGTGACATGTTGAAACACGATATTTTTTAAAGAAATATTGAAACAATTTTTTTTCTAAGAAAAGCTAGTAAGCACTAAAAGCTTTTTTGTTTGACGGCCTGCGTTGTTTACAACATAATATCCTAATCACTCTACCTGAAATACTGAATAACAAATCACACAATTAAAACTGTGGAAACCAGACGTCTAAAACTATACGGTTCGTAGCATGCCTAGTACAATCGGCAACATAATTTATTACCATAAAAGTTACTACGAGGATTACTTAAATTAATATTTTGTGTGTAACTTTGATAGGTACAAGTTTACTAAACAGCTGTGAATAACAATTCCTCTTTAAGCTGCACATAAATAAAAACACTAAACAATAACACACATATTGTGGATTAGATGTTACTAAATTAAACTTAGACTACTGGTAATAATTACTAAGTACGCACGCAATATCAAGAACGTAATATTTATTACCTAATATAATAGACCTAAGGGTGGATTCGACCAATCAAGAGTAAATATTATCTCTGAATAAATCGTCACTTTTGACATATTTCCCATACTGAAACTGTTAATATGCTAGTTATACCAGAAGTTATTCTCGGATATTAGTTATACCAGAAGTTTGGTCGAATCGGGCCTAAGTGTGAGGTGTACTAATTGAGAATAGCGCAAAACATACTTTAACGATAATGATTTTGACTGTACTTGCTAGCACCGTTTGGCAGGATAATTAATGGTCGGCTTTATTCACCTTGAGATAGAGTCGACATTGTCGGATAATCGCCCTTCGTTCGCGGACAGGCGTCAGTAGGGTTCCCTCCCTTCATAAATCTGGTAGAATAATCGCTCGTATCTTGAAATATTGTTACGTGAAAAGTGAATAAGCTTACAAGTTTGAACAGAAAAAGTCAAACATTTTTGAAGTGCTATATTTTTTTCTATTGTAATTTGAGTAAGGAACCTAAGATACTGCCTCTTTCGTGGAAGACCATTAGTCTATTATTAATTTCAAAATACGTTAGGTGGGCCATAAATTGACAAATGGACCTTCAACCAAAAGATTAATCTTCACCCAAGGCTGAGGCTCTAAACCGCGATTTTCATCTATGTTTTGGAAACTATGACTAATTCTTTCAAGGCTATTTAGATAGTACCTTCTAGGAAAGTAAAGTAGCGAAGACTTTGAATATTCTTTATAACTTCTTGTTGACTTAATTTAGATTGTCCCACATAATCTATATCTATAAAAGCAAACGTCACTGACTCACTCACTCACTCATCACGAAATCTCAGAAACTACAAGTGCTAGTAGTCTCAAATTTGCATGGGGGTTCCTTTTAAAACGGTGCTCACTAAGACGGGATTTTGCAAAACTTAATTTAATTTATGCCCCTTAGGGGTAAGGGGGTAAAACGGGATCCACGCGTACGAAGTCGCGGGCGGCCGCTAGTTTATAATATCAACCTGTTAGATTTAATTTGAGTGTTCAGTAGAGTCCCCTAATCGTACTTCGCCGCTTTTTGTCGACAAATTTTGATTAAAATATGTTATTTCCGGCCGCAGCTGCTGCACTATTGTTTTGTTGACGTTGAAAAATACGTCCTTCGCTACAGACGAGTAACTATGAGCTCTATCTATGGTTTGTTTATTTTTTTATACATGCCTCTAGCGCATTAGGTGTATGACGTGTATTAAGATAACACCTAATTGGGTCAGAGTTATTATTATTTTCATAGAATTCAGAAGAAGGATTATTCCCAGAAATGATTTTTGAAGGAACTAGGACGACTTTTACTCTTCTTTTTTATTTCAGTTCTCTTGCAACTATCACTATAAAACAATTATAATTATGTGTCTGTATGACCTACACGAATAATTTAAGACAATTAAACGTGATAACGTGAAAAGAGTTAGTAACGCTACATTTTTATTGACACCGATCCTGCGGTCTCAGAAAAAGTTCAAAGTACTCGTACCTAATAAATCCATTGGTTGTCAGCTGGATACGAATAACGTGGAACAACAGTTATAAGTGTGGAGATTCGTAATTCGATGCAGTCAAAGAAAATTTATCTTCGAATATCGGATATTTTATTGCTTATTTGGTCCGAACATTTTTTTCCTATTAATCCTTTTTAGAGTTGTTATAATGTTTTATCATACAAAGAGTACAATTTTAATGTGGCTTCATTATCATTGTTATTCCAACGTATAATAAATTATTCGATTTACCTACGACTCTACAAAACATCTATAAAAAAGATAACGTACTGTGGGGATAATAAATTGCATATAATATGTACATTTAAAGTGAAGCTATTAAGCCGACACGCGTAGCGCTACGCAGCGGGCGCGGTCAAAACTAGGTCACCCATTTCTCGCCCAAGCTCGGGACAAAAAGACCAATCAGCCTTCACTTCACTGCTCGTTAAGCTGTTCTCAAACGACACTCTCGACCCTTTTCTTTTAGTCCTCACCAATTAACTATCCCTCTCACACTCCCAACACCCAATGCGCAAGACAGAGATAACCGCAAAATTTTCAAGAAAGCTACGATTGTTAAATGACGCAGTTGCATTACCACCCCTCTTGGGGACGCACTCACTCACTATATTGAAAACTAAAACAAATTCGATATGGTTTGGTACTTAGGTGCGCTTGAGACAAGGCAGTTTATCAAGAAATAATTTTAAACCTACGCGCTTGTAGAACGGATACATTTATATTTTTCTTTTTCCTTTTCGGGTGCGGACGTCCTACCTACCTGTGGATTTGCATATTCGATATAGAGGTGTTTACTGCTGCCCACACCGCTTGCCTTATCGTCCAGCTTTGCATTAAGTATAAACAATGTTACGACCCAAATGGAGAAGTCCATTCATATGGAATGAAAGCAAGCCACATTTATGCCAGCTTCAGTAACACTAGCCAGTAATATCCTCCTATCCTATACGCCGCTTTCCAATCGTCTCCAACGTTTCGTCTTGGACCATAAAATCATTGGCAACTTGTGTGAGTTTGCACAGATGTGTTTAATTTGCTCAGTAAATAGTGGCTACTAAAAGATTTAACATTGCGCAAAGCCGACTGAACACCGTCGTTTGTTTTTTGCTAGACGACAACTTAATTATCATGTAACGACTGTGATATTTAACCTCGTGGTAATAAGGCACGCACTTTAAAATGGTAGCGAACATTTTGTCCATGCTTTTCTAACAATATCGTGACCCTGAGCGTCTTCGTTACTCTCCGTAATTCTGCGTTTACGGCACATTTTCCTCACACTCCGCGAGTGGAATAAGTAAAACGGTCCCCGCAACTAGGTTACTCTGAGTTGGTGCTTTATTGTGTTTACGTGCCACAGATATGAGATATACAGGCCGGGTCAAGGCGTCGGACAGCTTTCGACTGCGCCAGCTATATATGGAACTTGCAGATTTAGCTTCTGTTTGATCGCAAATAGGTACGAATGAATGTGCCTGTCACGAACTTGTTCGATTATGCGACTCGACACCTCAATCCCCACATAATGTTGTCTGATCTACTGAACGCCAGAGTCACGGCGATTTTTTAATTGCTTAATCCGTGCATGTCCTTGTCCGTCCAGCAGCAGCCGAGTGTGATATGCGGCAAACAATGGAGCGAGACGACACGCCACGCGGAAGAGCGTTAAAATGCGTCGTAAAAAGCGCGCGTAGTTTCAATTTTATGACTCGTATTCAATTGGGGCCTGTAAAAAAGCGTTTTATTGGAGTCGCATCCTGGCCGCGAGGTCGCGAGATGCCCAGATAGCTCTAATTAAAAACTCGCTGTGTGCACTCTTGCGAAAGCTACGCCCCTTCCATAGGCCAATTGCGACACTGCATGCCCTTTACTGAAGTGACCAAAATTGTATGTTAATGATACATAAACACTTTTTATTACCAAAATGTATGCTCATATTGAATTTTTCGTTGTTGCAGGTCGAAACAGTGAAACGAACGTTACCCGTGAAGACTTCTTATAAAGAAGACATATACATAAGTGCCATTCTAAACCAGATTACCATAAGAAGTGATAATAGTCTCATCTAGTGATAGTGTAACCGTGATATAGACTTAGGTTAAGGTGCTAACACCGATATTTTTAGTGTTGAACGTGACCAAAAAGAAGCAAAACTGGCTCCGTACAAAGATATAATGAACTCATCAAGTATGAGTTCGACAGTGCCCACGATCAAGTGCGAAGACACTTCGCCGTCGCCGACCGCTGCGCTGGGCGACGGGGACTCCGGGACCTACAACCTGAGCGTGAACGTCAACCTCAGCAGCGCCATGATGAACCTCCTGTCCGCCGAGACCGTCAACTCTACCACCCTAAGGACGCCCGAAATCGTCAACGATGTAATCACCATGACCAATCCCTTGGACCAGTACAATTACAACGATAAAAATTCCAGTCTCAAGGTGAGGCACTGTTTACTTTTTGCTGTTAGTATAATTCGTTAGCCTGAATAACACTTGAATTAGCTACCGCTTAAGTACGAGTAGGTAGGTACTTGGTGCTGAATATGATGATTAATTGAAGGTAACGTGGAGCGTGTCGCAACTGCTGCCATTGCGTCAACAGCCCCTAAAGATCCTGCGGTTTTGACTGCAAACAATCGAAGCAGATTCCCTTGTACTTGGGTCACATAGGCGCCTGCGCAGCTCGCATACACAATGAGTGTTGAGTTGTTGCCAAGTATCCGAGTGGTGCGATCACGTGACCGGTGCTCACTCCCTCGTTATAAACATTGGATAATACCCTCTTGGCGCCGATGCAACGCATGAGGTCATACACCTTAGGTAAACTACTTATTTACACGTAGAAGTGAAGCAGACTCCTTGGCGCCAAAGACTTGATATCAGGTTATCTATATATAGATATCGCGCGGCATGGCAGTTACATTATTTGCTGTGTAGATTATTTTCGCATCGCACTATCATACAGTGAATGAATCTCATTACTCTAACATATGAATGGGCAGAATTCAGAGCGTAACAACAATGGGACAAAGGATTAATTATATCTGATAATAAACATTGTAATGGGCCGCATACAGAATTAATAGATGCTCCTGATATTTCCAGTCATTAATATTTATAAGGATAAGCGCTGTGTAATAATAAAATACTGCAATCAGCAGGTTAAATACGACCGGACATCATGTTTTTCCTTCTTTTTGGTGTAATTAAAATTAATAAAGTAAAATTATGCATTTTAGGACTCATTCGAGTAATATTTTCAATTAAATATCAGAAACATCTTTGATGAAGATCAAATGCAGTTTTTGGTACTTTATTTGAGCAATTTAATTGGTTATAGTCGGTAGTTAAAACAAATAAAATACCGCAGCCAATTTTATGCAATTTAAACATTTCAAAGATCCGCTGCAACAATTAAAACGGACGAGTGTGGTCAAAATTCGTTTTGGGTTGCCACTTATCAGATGCTACAGTCTTTTGTTTCAATGGCTTTGTTTGGGCACGCTTACGGCAGTGACCTGGAAACTGTCCCATTAACTGTGGAGTACCTACCAACTATACAGCGAACTCATTTCCCTTCCCGCAATTATACTCTGTTGACCAATCGACAACTACGAGCAAATCTATTTTGATCTTGATTAATTCCATAAAAAATACACGGACGGCATAAAATATAGTGAAGCTTTGTCCGTAATTATGCAGTTTCTCTATAATGCACCAGTTATTATTCCTCAACTCCTTATCCAAACATACTTAGGTACCTAGTAAGTTAGATTTTTTTAAGACAAGCAATAATAATCCACTGTCTGGCAGGTAGAAACTTCCTAATTACATTTAGCATGCCCTGGAAATTCATGAGGAATTGAGCTGGAAGAAATTAGTGGCCTCTATCCACTTTTCTTTTGGTCAAATTCAGTGAATCAACGACAAAGTATAGACATGTAAAAGTTTAAAACTAAAGGATCCACTTACCATTTCAGGGTGCAAGCGGCAATGACTCCAACTCTTCCATGTCCAACGGTTCTTCAGCCACCTCGCCTGCATCAGGAACCCCACAAAGCATACAAAAGGTGAGATAATTCTTCTTCTTCTTCTTCTTTTGTTGATGGCTCATCACCATGGCTTGTGGTTTTTCGCCACTGTGGGCACATTGTTCCGCAACAATTTCTTTTTTTTTTAGATAACAGAGGTAAAGGTTATGATAAACGTAAGGTGTGTGTTGTTTACTGTACTTTGAAACTTCTGATATGATAAGAAGACTATTAACAGGTACCCCTCTTAGTGCATTCCAATAAAATATTTAAGAAATGTATGGTGAATTTCACATTCTATACCACAATAATAAAAACCTCTAAGTCTCTACACAAGATTGACGGCTTTTAAAACCGTTTCAACGACTTGTTTTCCTGAATAAAATATGCAAAACATAATTGGGATGATTTGATGTTCCTAAATAGATTGGTTATCAGCCAAGTAATAAATTAAGAAGTCAAATCGAAATAAGTTTTCTGTTGTGACTCTACGCAGTTAAGGCGTGATTCTGCTAATTTATGGGTATAATTCAGTTAGTTAATAAACCGCGGGTAATCAATAAATATTCATTAGAATGTTTAGCCGCAAACTGGGGCAGTGGGTATTATGAGTCTGTTTAGTGGGATTTTTATAAAATTAATTGAAAACTTTATTGTAGTTTTATTAAGTGACTACGTGACTTTTAGCATGTATGTAACATGTAGTATCAGGATATGTACTATACATTATTATATTCTAATGAGGGAAAGGTGGTAAAATCCCTATAGGATTATTTTATATTAATTAATTTATTTTGTTCTAATCATGGTATGGGTACACTAATGTCAAGGAAACATTTCCTGTTAAATATTTCTTTCTACCCATTAAACAGTATAATGCTTTGTTTTTTACTCTGTAACAAGCGCTCCTTATCCAATTTGTTTTTCCGCGAGTTAACCAGTGATTAAACAAAGCATGAATCAATTGATTGAATGCTGACATTTTTTCTGGGGTAATTACAGTTAATGCTCTGCCAATCTAATGTGAAGCCATTGAATGAGATTTCCATTTACATTTATTTAAATTATGCACATTTATGATGAATATAGTAGACCTTTGCCTACATTGCGAGATGAACAATAGGCGGACGCTAGTAATGTGAGAAAAATATTGCATTATAATATGGAAGGCGGGTTCTGCAACTACAGGTTAAGTCTGGGTTATCTAACCTTTAACTTCCTGTGAACTGGATATGACTAGAATTTATTAATCTAAAATGTTAGAATTTTATGTAAATCAGATCCTTCAGATGCGTTAGTTTTGAACTGTTGGATTTTTACCGTCTTGACCGGCTAACACTCGTATTCACAAACCATGCTTGCTTAAATGAAGCAGCAAATCGAACGCACAACATTGAATAGAGCTCTGTGATTGGTTTGTGTGTCACCCTGTGAGTTCACGCGCACTGTGAGACCTCATAGTAATGTTTGTGAATAGGTACGGGCGTAATTCGTAGTGTATTGTCGATGATACTGAATAAACATTTTTTCTTTCTTTCTTTCTTTAATTCTTCTCCTGAGCTTTGAGCTACATTTTGCGATAGTTGCTTTGGTTGCAATTTAAGAACTACTTAGGTACCTAATTGAAAAATATTTACACTATAAAAATTCATCACTTAAACTGCGTAGATATCTGTAGCAGAAGTGGTAACAGTTGAATAAGCAGATCATCATAAATGGATTCACAATGGAATGGTTTCTTATTTTTTACATCTTCAATCGCCATTTGTATGATTATAGCTATTAATGCAATTTAAATCGATTTAATAGTACCTACTTACATAAATCTACTTAGTCAATTATAGAATGCTAATGATTTAATAGTAAAATAATTACATTCTCACGTTTATAATACTAGGAAAAGAAATAAGTTACGTTTTTGTTTGTTGCCTTAGATTTTTTGTGTTGTTAATTAAATTACCTACTATGTAGAGTTCATTAATCATTTCTCAATCGGACCATAAAATTGCATTTTTGAGATGTAATTAAAAATGATATTATTATAGTAAGCTACACTGTTCAATGAATAATAATAAAGATTTGAACCCAACCTTGACGGGAACACTCAATCAATAGTGACCGTGAATTGTTGGTAAAACAATAAAAAATCTTAGCCATGATCGGTACTTTATAATTATTGTAATTCTTCTCTATACCTGGTTCAAGGTAGATGCATATAAACACATCAATCTTAATTATAGTTATCTTAATCAATAGTAAGTGTTGAGCTTGAGCCTACGCGTGATCCGAACCGTCAATGTAAATAAATATAAATTGAGATCTAAGCGGAAGTATGTAGGCAGATGATGCGTAGATGAATGAAAGGACGTTACTGGAATACTACATTATATTATGGACGTAGGAAATAGAAGTTGTAGCTCAGTAAGGTACTCCGGAAAATAAAGGTAGAGACGCGTGATGGATGGAAATTGCTATGAATATTCTAGGTTTAAGGGCACAAAAACATATTAAGTAGGTATATTCTCGTTTTTGTCCTAGCCCTCGATCAAAATTTACAAGATAATATTATGACTTTGGGCATTACTTTCATACTTTTGAGCTTTTCATCTAATAGGTACTCTGGAGTAGAAAACTGTAATGAGTTTACTTAATCATTAACTACAGGCTCATGCAATATCACGTCAGTCATGCAATAAAATTAAATGTTAAGTATAAGTAGCTGCTATATTTCGCAATCGCAACTCATTCGGGACTGGACATTTGTTGAGGTCTTACATCGTATGCCTACACATGACCCTCTAATCTGGTCTTGAGCTTAGACGACCCACCTGCATAGGATAGCTCTATTTTGTAGTACATACTAAGCCTGAGTTGCGTTGCACCATCTTACTTTAACAGTAACTAAGTATAACAATAACAGGCGTTTTATGTATGGAGTCTGACAGACTTTTGACGTTTGCTAAAGTTAAAGTAAGATGGTGCAACGCAGCCTAAATCTGTGATGATAACTAAAGAATTGTAATAAACCTTTGTTTGTCACCTGTCATCCGCTTTGCAATGTAGGGAAGTCGAACCTTAATATTTTCGAACTCCTCCTAAGTTCTTCTGATTAATTTCGTTGCGGGTCCAATGACAGTTTAACTTTCCCCCGGGACAAACTTGACCTTCATTGATTGGGTTTGTATGGCGGTCAAGCTGTAGATCCTGGCTACACAGGAGTTGTAGTGGTGGGAACGAGAGGTGGGAAAAACTAAATAGTTGTGTCATTGTTGCAGACATGCTCGGACCTCATACGAGCAGGCTTGAAGATCTCCATCGAGTCGAAGCGCAAGATGTCGGGCAGCGACACCGACGGCGGCTTCAAGCGGCTGAAGAAGGAGGAGAGTGACGACGACTACGACAGCAGTCATACCCAGACGACCAAATCTGATGGGGTTAGTTAACCACGATATTTTAACCAATTACAAAGGAATAGGTTTTTGATTCAGAAGAGAATAGTCTCAGGGAACTGCCATTCAACAAGTTCAACTAAAAAGCAATAAAATTATTCATCCGTCCACCCTACACATCATCATTTCAGCCATAGGATGTCCACTGCTGAAAATAGGTCTCCCCAATGATTTCCATATTGACCGGTTGGCAGCGGGCTGCATCCAGCGCCTTCCTGCTACCTTCATCTATCGAAGGGTCAGTTTAGCAGACCATAATTAAAAAGTTCGTGGCATCTCCCATTTTCCCCCATTCGAGATGGGATGAAGAAGATGAGAAATGCCCAAAATCCGTCCTACACAATTAATTGTAGTTTTCAATAGCTAAACTTCAATGCATCAGTAAGGGACTGACTGATATTTACGCAAATATTACACGCAAGTTTAAAAATACTAAATTGAGAAAGAGAAAATTAGAATGTAAAAGCGTTGCTTAAAAACATAACCCTCTTTCTGGCGCAGTCGGGTAAATAGAAGTAGGTAGGTAAGCACCAACAATTTTAGGATAAACTTGATTTTTTTTCTTATTCGCGTGTTAGGTAAGTCTTTCATTTGGACAAGACAATCCGTAATATTTCATACATTGAATAACTCGAAACAAGCACAGTACCTACTGTATGTAGACCGTGTATTACCTAATAGGTATGTGTTTATCTGGCATGATAATTACATACAAATTAATGAGACACTAGGTACAAGTAATTTCATAAGCCGGATGATACACTCAAGTTGAAAAGGGTGAATCAGTTACAAGTTAATTAAAATACATAATAATATTCCTTTACGAGAAGTGTTCGCCTCTGACCGAACGTGGTCAACGAGGATGATTGTAGCTTCTAATTCACAATTCTAGTAATTATTATTCATAATAGTTCTAGTTGGTATTGTTTTCTCACGCTGTTTTCATTCAAAGAATAACTAGCAATTGAGAAATATGAATGAATTTATTTTTTCCCCTTTTTATCCCCGTCGACCACTGAACTGTTATGGTGAGCCAACTCCTAACAAAACAAGCATTTTGATTTAGCTTGGTAGAAGGGGTTAAAGGTAACATTAGTAATTTGTGCTCTATTTATTTAAAAAAATAAAATAGTCATCTGGTGCAATGTTTAAATGACGCAAATGGCAGTAATTCATCATAACTTACGCAAAAGAAAGTCCATGGTGTGAGTTAAGCATAGATACGAGTACCTACTAGTTAGGTAAGAAGACCGTGCTTTCAACAAAATGCCGCCTGTGCAGTGCAATAAAGAGTGCAATACACGCATGTCAAAGTCAAAGTCAAAGTCAAAATTTCTTTATTTGTTTAGACTAATAAATAGTTCTTACAAATCGTCATATGCTCTTAAGGAGCCTCTACATGTCTCATAATCTTTTTACCCTACCAGCGCTTCGAGACCAACATTTGGCAAGTGCTGAGAAGAAGCGCCGCAACAAACTCAGTCACCTCAGTTCTTCATGTCATGTACAGTTAAATTGCACCATCATCAAGTGCAAAGATATTTGCAACTGTAAACTCCGTCCAGGAACCCTTGCATAGATTGCCAGCCGTATCTAAACTAGCTTTTACCGCGACTGCCCTTGCATTTTAATACAACGGCATCATTGAAGTTTTATGAGGTTACTAAGAAGGCATCGCGAATGCGCGCCACCGGTCGTGACTGAACTCCCCGATTTTGAAAGTAATATGAATATGACAATGAGAAATTATCCAGTGGTTACGAATAACAATCGGCAGGATGCGATATCCTCTTCCAATTTACATTTCCGTGGTTTAGAACTGTTTAATTGATTGAATTAAATCAAGCATTTATGAATGGAACAGAAAGTCCGGTAACATGTTCTTTCCCAAACGATTAAACATGGGAGTTTGCAGATGCAAACAAGTGACACTTGGTAGATCTAGGTAAAAGCCAATCTATTGCCAGTAAGGATTTCCTATTAGCAAATACCAAGGATACAAAGCATTTGAGAACCGCCCCCTTCCTACCCCTCTTGGGTTCGTTGGATCTTTACATTTTTCTGGCCAAAAAGTTCTGGAAAAGCAATTACCTACATCTAAACATTACCGGATGATGAAACGTGTAATTTCTCCGAGACCTTTATCTTATTCTGTATCAAATTACTAAACGATTTTATTCTTATTTATTCCAGTTGACACCAGAAGACGAAGAGCGTAGGCGGAGGAGAAGAGAACGGAACAAAATAGCCGCGACCAAATGCAGGATGAAGAAGCGGGAACGAACTGTCAACTTGGTGACAGAGAGCGAGGTGCTGGAGAACCAGAATATAGACTTGAAGGCGCAGCTAAAGGTAAGGAGCAATTAACAATGTTATAAAAAAGTTCTTTGCGTTTAGGTCTGGATATAACGGTAGAAGAAATTTAAAGCTGCCTGCAAATGCAAATATTTTTTGTCCTTCATCAGCAAATGAATAGGCCTATGTACAGTCGCAGAATGAAAAGGTTCGTCACCTTAGTGTCGGTTTTCGCTTGCACTAGGTCTAAGTACTGTAAGAGTCAAACCTGCCAACATAACAGTGCAAGAAACAGTGCTGCTAACATTTAAATAAATATGACGTTTGCTAACAAATAAGGTTTTGCTTGTTTATTTTTCTATCCCATCAGTGCAATGCAATGATGACATTGACCAATTTGACAATAGTTTTTTTTATTTAATAGAAATAATAATGGCAGGTTGAACCAACAAGAAGGTTTTAGTTTATCAATCATAATCATCTTCTTGACAAGATAAATCGTCAAACAACTTTGATCTGAATAATTTTGAACTTTACTGACGAACAGTTAAAGATTATTTTCTCTACTCGAGATTATTCTGTAACATAGTTTCAAAAGGTAATATTATGTGCTCGCGATTCGTTGAAGGAATCAATTTGAAAACTGACGAACCTTTTCATTCCGTGACTGTACTATGTACCATGCATGAAAGAAAGAAAGAAAAATATTTTATTTAGTACTAGCTTTCCGCCCGCGGCTTCGCCCGCGTGGAATTTTGTCTGTCACAGAAAAACTTTATCGCGCGCGTCCCTGTTTCAAAAACCGGGATAAAAACTATCCTATGTTCTTTCCCGGGACTCAAACTATCTCTATGCCAAATTTCATCAAAATCGGTTGCGAGGTTTAAGCGGGAAAGCGTAACAGACAGACAGACAGACAGACAGACAGACAGACAGACAGACAGAGTTACTTTCGCATTTATAATATTAGTTGGGATCATGCATGTCACCCTGTCTAATTATAAGAGTTAATAGAAATGTAATCTTAAAGGTAAAACTTTAACAACATCGTTCTTCAGTCTTATCATGATGCAATGACGTCTTACAAGCACAGAGCCATTGAAAAACTCATTAACAGTAATGGGCTGAGAATGTCTTTTATAATTACTATTTATCGTAATCTCTCAACGTGACACGAAAATCGCATTTAAGTATTTTTGGACGTTTCGAGGATAATTTCGTTCAACTGCTAATTAGCAGTTGAACGAAAACGTTAGCTTAACTAGTTAATCAATAAGGAAATGCTAATGAGGATAAGGTTAATCATTTGGAAATATCTACAAAATAATGTTTTAAATTAAAATTATTCGGATGAAAAATGAAGGAAAATGTCCATTACAAAACTAACCTACCATAGATAATATTATGAACACTTACATTATTTTTTCCAGGACTTGGAAGTACAAAGGCGGCAGTTGATGGACATGCTATCAATGCACAAGGCGTCTTGCAACAAAGAGAACAACTCCACCACACGGCAGTCGCCGCTCACATCTTACAACTTACCAGGGACGTATGAGTCGCCGACCACTTACCCAGCCTCTGTCGAGACGTCTCCATACATCAGGCCCGAGTCAGCAAACATCCTCGCTTCCAGCTACACCTGCGGGGTCCCATTCAACAACGACTCGTCCATCGACACAGTCTCTTCCTTAGACACCATCTACATCCAACCGCAAATCGTCGATGTAGACTACAACAGGCCCGACAGCGTCCTCAGTCTTCCTCCCAACTCAGACGCAGGCTACGCCACAACCGACGGCTTCATTCCCAAATCTACCAACCTTCTTGTCCCGATTGACCCGGATCAAGAGTATTACGACCCTGAAATCAACTACAATCTTCCTTCTCAACAGTGCCATACCTACCCTGGCACTCTCACCGATTCACAGAGCAAAATCAACAATGGCCTCAACGATGGATGCCTTGTCTAGCTGGAAGTCAACATCCATTCATGTTTTGTCGGGTCCAAAATTTATTTTTGACATGTATACGTATATTTTAAGCTTCGGAGTTAAAATTAATTCGAAATAGAGTATCACCGTTGACAACTTTACTTTTTATATCTCAAAAGAATCGTGGGAAAGCAGTTCAGGATTTATAAATACCTTGGTTATTGTATCTACATTTAAAATTGAAATAGATGTGCCAGAAAGATGTGAGGCGGGGAATTTATTTCGAAACGAAAACGTATGTCTACTGTGTAGAACAACAACATAGGTTAATGTGGTTGGTGCCTGTCCTGTATCACATAAATTAGGTGCTAGTGTTGAAAACTATTTTCACAAAGTTAATAGGTAGGTACTGCATACAAATTTTAATGAGCGGGAAACTTCCAACAATAATAGTTCCGACATCATATTTTAGTTTATGTATTTATTTCTCGATATTTTGTTAATTTTTAAATTGTGTTGTGAAATAATTTCGAGTCAGTGTCTCGTAGGTAACACTCAACTGTGAAACAGTCCGGTAAGTAGGTATTTCACATAATATTTTAGTCTTTTAACATTTAACCTAAATTACCAGATTCGTTTTATGTTTTAAGTTCTATAATTTTGCTTTGATCTGTACATATTATTTATTTGAGATCTAAGATCTGATTTTTGTTGATGGTGCAATGGTTGATAATATTCAAGTTAAGTTTAGTTGAGATTAAGCAGAAGAAAATTATTTTATTTTATAATACGCTAACGTTTTACGTAACGAATGAAATGACTTAATAATATTCTAAACATTTAAATAATACATCACATAATAAACTTGCAGTACAATAATACAGTACCTCCTGTTGAAATTCCGATAATATATTTTATGTTACAGAAATATATACAGACGATTTAATATGTATAGATACATTATATAGTTGTAAGACGCTTTAACTCATAGTAAGTCGTGATATAATTTAGAAGTTAGTTATTATGATTATGGCCACATTACATAATTGTTATAAATATGTGTTTATTTGTATCATGAGTACTCATATACGGGGACACATATTACTTATTTTATGAAAGAAATGTATAAGAAGTATAAATGATTCTTTGAGCGTAACGTAATGAGTGAATAATATACGATTGTTAAATGATAATGTGTAATTTATGAATCGCTTGTATAATTTATGTATCCCGGTATAAATGTATGTAAATATAGATATGTAGCGAGTAAAATAATGTTTAGAAATAGATATCGAAAACTAACTGTGCGCGCCGAATGCGATTTACTTCCATTACAAAAAGTGCCTCTTTCATTCACACAAGATATTTACATACTAACTATGTATTACATTTATATTTTGTAAGAATTTTAGCTGCAAAGGTGCGTTGCCCGAGCTATAGAAATAAATAACTTGGATGAAATATATAAAAATTAATATAAGCCTAAATATAAAATACAATACTTGTTTAATGTGCCTAAATGTAGGTAATGCTACTTTTAAATGGGATTTATAAGCTACATTTAATCACAAATGAACACAGTTTCAGATTCATACAATATTATGTTACATTTTTTTCATTTTACGATAATTATTGTTATTGAGTAACTACATTTTATTTTATGTAGAGAAATGTAGGCATGTTACTAATAAATATAAAGCTATGTCCAGTAGGGTGTCCCGAAATATCTTTTTTTATATTTTCGCTACACAAGACCCCTCAAAAGTTGCGTCATAAGATGTAGATTACCGTAAAAATAATTAAAAAAATATAAAATTATGTCTCAAGGGCTCTACCGGCATTTTTATGTCTCAAAAAATCACTTAATCAGCCCTTCACTGTTGGTCATCTATTATATTTTTTTCACAATTATTTAATTTTATTTTGTAATAACAGTGGCAGTTAAACCCTAAGATATGATTTGCAGGCAATGACAGACTGTTTCCAGTGAGGAATAGGTTTGGTTCGAACTAGCAGAATTCATATTTTGACTTGTTTTTCTCAAATTTTCTACTCCTTCGGCGAGACTGTTGGTATTATTTTTGTTGAGGTTTTATTGCAGTAAGGTATCGCACCGCACTTTTTTATTATAATATTACATACTTTTAGCATAAATTTAACAAAAATTTAGCAATTTATGGTGGTAGTATACTTTTTGATTTTTTTCAGGTAAAAACTACCTAGCCAAAAATCTTTATAATATTATATTTAAACAGAATACTAATTGACATGTTAAATAGTTTTAGCATACTATTAAATATAAATAACATTTATGTACGTTACATACACTTTCTAGCTGAAGTTTTTGTTGTCTACGCAGTTTTTTATCAATGGTGAACTTCAACGGAAGTAAAAATATATTTTTAGTTNAAGATGACGGATATCTCATAAAATTTAATGCTTATCGTAATCTATATGTCAAAACGCAACTTTTGATACCTCTTGCGTAACCGTAGCTCAAAAAAAAATTTTTCCCATACAACGACGGGACACCCTAATGTCCAGTGCCTATTATGGGGATTTCAATGATATAAATTGTTTCATTCGACGTAGTTTTCAGTAAAAATAGTTTTTTAATATTGTTTTTGACGATAACAACCAGTGATTATTTGTAGCTTATGTAAATGTACTAAAGTTATGGCAAACGTTGCAAGCTTTATGTTTACGACTTATTCCAGCATAATTTTTTACATTGAAATATTGCGAGTGATTAAATAATATAAGCGTAAGATAGTTTGCCTAACTTTATAAGATGACGTTATTGATCAGTGCCTTCTGCGTACCAGATCCTAGTCTATGACGACTGCCCGAGCAGTGTGCGAGTCTTGAATGAGCATTTATTTTTTATTGTTGGTAAATTATTGTGATAAAAGATAAAATATATAGCAACAAGTTCTTGTTAAACATGAACTTTAATATTGTTTACCAAAAAACGCAAAGAATTTCAAAACATATTGTGTATCTACATGACAAAATTCTTCTTTCTTACTTTAGTGTGGTTCTTAAGGTTCGCTTTGTGTGTTATATGCCTTCGCAGTACTCTTAAAATAAGATTAACTACTGAAGGCATGGGTTCGTGTAATATATTGGTAGTTCCGTCGATGTTCAGGTATACAATTAATTTCAAAACTAATGAGGATCAGTACTGTTGTAGAAAATTCAATAAAACTAGTATCTACGTTAATCTTTAAGACATAAGAAAGATATATCTTTTTGAATTATCCAAATCGGACCATTACTTACGAAGATATTAAGTAATAAACATAGGCCGTTTTTGCCGCTAAAAGTCAACGTGCGCAAGGCCGCGTGACGTCATTATATCCGAATCGAGCGCAGCCGGCGTACTAATGGGATGGAAAATATTTTTTTCCGGCTAAACTATCAGTTTTAGAAAAAAACTTTTAATAACATTTATTCTTCAAAATAAAGTAACCTATCGACCAGTAATTTTTAAAAATAAAAAGTCATAACCAGTTTCTAGGGCTGGGGGGAGGGGCTAGCCTTACCCAGCTTATGGCCTGGGGGAGGGGGGGGGGGTCAAGTCATACCCAGTTTCTGGCATTTCTGGCATGGGGGGGGGGGTGTCATACCCAGCTTCTGGCCGAAGGGGAGTCATATCCAGCTTATGCTTATGGCCTGGGGGTAGGGGCAAGCCTTACCTAGCTTCTGGCCTGGGGGGAGGGGGAGGGGTCAAGTCATACCCAGTTTCGGGCCGGGAGGGGGGGGGGGGGGGGGGGTAAATCATACCCAACTTCTGGCCGAGGGGGAAGTCATGCCCAGCTTATGACCTGGGGAGAGGAGAGGGGCGGGGTAGTCATACCCAGCTTCTAGGCTAAGATTAAATAGATTTTCAGCACGGAGCGGCTGTCCTTTCCTGCAGCAGCTGGCCCGCCCATGGGAACGGCGAATAGATAGGTAGGTGCGTAGGTTTAACTCAGAAAAACTAAATAACAGGTAGGTATTATTAAGTTTACATCGAAATGATTTTCATAGCAATGTCTTATTGTTAGAAGTTATACCTTATTGTTAGAAGTAAATAAATTAATACTTATACATTTTTATATTTTACTTGGAAGAAGATATGACTCTAACAACACTTATGTACACTTTATTTGAATAAATCGCCAAATATACCACCGCGGAGACCCCAATCGCGTCTCTGCGTGCCATTGAATCGTATGAGCGTATGGATTTTTTGCGTTATTTTTCACAATTTCTATTTTTAAAAATTACCTATCGATAGCTTACTTTATTCTGATGAATAAATGTCATTACAAGTTTTTCTCTAAAACTGATAATTTGGCTAGAAAAAAATATTTTCTATCCACGCAGTACGCCGGCAGCGTTCGGATCGGATATAATGACGTCATCGTCCCCGTGCCGGGCGGTCAGTGAACTTTTTTAGTAATTTGGCCATAACTTCGTCAATTTTTGTCGTAGAACAAAAATTTTTGCACTGTGTATTAAGGATTTCTTAGCCCTATAAATCTGCATTCACAGCTAAAAATCGAAATGATCCTCATTAAAATTGTCGAAGACTTTTCAAAAAATGTTGCACCAAGCTTCTGTGATAAATGTGATACTAAATTTTAACCTATTCAGAGCTTTGATCTAAATTTCTATATTCTATAAAAATATCACCAATAATAATGAATCAAGTTTTTTTGAACAAGTCTGTATATTTGCCAGAACATTACATTATCTGTGGTGTCAAATTGTTTTGTACCCAGAACCGTGAACGTCTTATTAAATATATTCCCCGCGCTTTTGTGAAAACTCAATCTGATTCCAGTGAGACAGAGATCTTTTTCATCCTGTGCAATATTTTAAAACTACGCCTTTGATTAAAAATCAACTTTAAATTTATCCAGTTACGAACTATTTTTAAGCCGTAATCGTCTACTTGCTTTCGTATATTGCAGCTTATTTGTTATGTAAGGTGTCAGTATGCATCTAAAATAGGAATGCGAACGTGTTGAACTTATTCTAGACTATCTACTTAATTCATGTCTATACTTCCAAAATTAGCGTTAGCCGCGATAGTACATTACTATTGCATATTTGGTTGTAAGCTACATTTAGTATTATGTATTACTGTTTGTTTCATATTGTTCGCTTGTTCTCAACCAGTCACACTAACGTGTAACACTGTAACTCGTTGGATAAAAAATCTTTATTTTTACTTACCTTCCCAACGGTTCACACATCATTAAAAGGTACATTTAATGCAGCGGTGCAGTAAACAAAATAAGATCAAAATACTTAATTTATAAGGCTTTTTGTCAGAAAATACCGATTACTGTGTGACCTATCGGGAAGATAAAAGTACCTATCTAAAGAAATGTCTTAAGGAGTAATAGTGTAACTTGATAGATTTTTTTCCCCAACGAGTCAGTGTTACAGTGTGACTGGTTGGTAACAAGCGATATTGTTACTACATGATAGATATTATTACTATGTTTCGTAATGTCATACTTTTGCAAGTACTTTTTATAAGTCGATTGTTATATCTTTTGAATAATTGTATAAGCTATACGCTGTTTACTAATGCTTTTGTAAAAGTTTTGTCCATGTCATCTTTTACATATTTTGAATAAAATATACCTATTTATTCTAATTTTCAAAATAAATTCACTTGTCACAAATGATAATATTATTGATGATTACTGTTACCATTATTCGGCTTAATCTTTTATGAACATTGTATTAATTGAATGGTTCTAAAATTGTTACCGACCGTAGGTTGTATTGAAAGTGTTGAAATTAATTTTTGTAAGTGTTGTAAACATCACCTGTACCTGCTTCTTGAATATAAATATGTTGACAGTCAAAGCAAAATTATTGCGCTTACATATTGAAAAATAAATCATATATTGCATAAAATATCTTTTATTTATAACATACTACATACCCGGATATTACCTATAGTCCTACTTATAAAAAAATTAAATGCCAAACTTGTGAAGAGTTATTAATTTGGGTACTATTAATTAACATTGAAATAAAATGCCTTCATTACAACTTTGATATCGTTTAATATCACAATTAGAGTCTCATAACAAACATTAAGACAAGTAAACGCTATTCCGCGAGTTATACCGGCCTTTGACAATTTGCCTGTCTAAATAATATTGTCTCCGTAGACCGATTCCGCGGGTTCACACACGTATGTGCTAACATTATCGCGTGGGCATTGCATAATATGCCTACGATACGAATAAAACATTAACTATTTATATCTTACATTGTCGTACAGCGTAGCATAATACGCTGAACTAAAATAGTACCTATTAACGCGTAAATACAGTCATTTTACAGGTGCACAAATTCCAACCAGGGGGATTTGTGTAAGTTTAAATCAAACGTATTCGATATCGACTGCGTAAAAAATGACATTAAATCTATGACAGATTGTACAGCGTCCCTAGCGGATACTTTCTAACTAAAACTTTTTTGAGGCCCTCGATACGATCGAATACGTTTGATGTAAACTCACACTAAGACCCCAGGTAGGTACTTTACATAGCATTCTCGAAAAGTCTTCACCAAAAATCCAAAGAAAGTTGTAAACAAACGTTGCATATTTGCAAGTAACCAAAAGGTTAATTTTTTTAAAGTGAAGGTAAACTTTCGATCAAAGAGAGAAATCTTTTCGAAAAATTACATTTCGATAAATCAGAAAAAAACTGTATAAAATTAAATATGAATTCTTCATAATATAAAATGTCATAGTCATTGTGGTTTTGGCGAATGTAAAAAAAGTTATATTGCTATGTTTGCGAAGTTAAAATTTGTGCACCTATAGAAACAACCTGCATAATAAACCGCAGTATGTCTATACTATTTAACTTAGAACATTGAACACGTTTTCTACGAGAAAATAAGTAAACTAAAATAATTTGAGCAGCGAGAGATAAGATTTAGTATAGCGAATTTAGTGAAAATTATCAAATTTTAATGGAAAAATATGAAATACACGGCGATAATTGAAAATTTGATACGCACACACGTTGAGGTTGGCTTGGTTGATCCGTTTTCTGAAGGCGTTACCTGAAAATTTTGATATAAATTAGTTTCAGTTACAGGCGAAAGAGCTTAAGCCACATCTAAGTTAGGCCATTATGCGACTTGTGCTTGCCAATTGTGGGGTTTTACTAGAAGTATGATGTAAAAGCAACTGAACTTTAAAATAATATATTTATTTATTTACAGTCGTGGTCAACTAATTAGGGACAGATAGAATACTAAGCAATACTAAGTGTTCATATCCTATTATTGTGAGCTTCATTCAATATTACTGGCTGTTACTTTGTAAACATATTGACTATCAAGTACTCTATTTAACAGAATACAATAACAACAAAAAAACTTACTAACTTAATAAAAAATCTTAATCAATGTACATGAATCGGTAATTATGGTACGGACGGTCTGGCCACCTAATTAGGGACGGTTAAGTTTTTCCTTCTAAATTAAAAAAATAAAAAGTAATAACTTTTATTCTGTTCATTTGTAATTTCGGCGTCTATTTGAAAAGCGAATTATTCTCTATTACTCATCAAATTATTAAAGGTAATGGGCTGAAAGAAAAGCAACAATGCGCTAAGTTATAATCCATATTTATCAGTGTGGATGGCCATACCAGTAAATTGCAGATCATCTGAAATGTTCCAAAAACATGAATCTACGATGCAGTGGCTTATTTCAAAATCATGAAACCACAGAAAGTATGCCTAGAAGGAAGAGGCCAATAAAAACAACCCCACAAGATGGATCGCAGAATGGTCACTCTCGCAAAGAGAGACCCCTTTAAGGGTTCGGTTCTGATCAAGAGCGAGATTTTTGGACCAGAACCGACTGCTGGAGTATCTGCGAGGACCGTCGGAAGGCGACTGGTGGAGGCAAAGCTTGTAGGAAGAGTTCCTCGAAAAGTTCCACTACTGAAGATGGAACACAAAGAAGCAAGATTGGCGTTTGCAAGAAAGTATGGACATTAGGCTTTTGCTCAATGGATAAATGTGCTGTTTTCTGATGAAATCAAGATAAATCTTATTTCATCCGATGACAGACAATACGTGCGACGACCTGTAAAGTCCAAAATGATACCAAAGTAAACGAAGAAGCAGGTGAAACATACAGGCGGCAAAATAAAAATCTGGGACTGTTTTTCTGGACATAGAGTGTAACCTATAAAAAGAACTGAAGTTAAACTTGAGCAATTCCAATACAAATAAATATTGGAGAAAACGATGCTATCGTATGCTGAAGAAGTCTTACCAGTCTCAAGAACATTTCAACACGATAACTACCCAAAACATACCGCGTACTCTGTTTAATAATTCCTAGCGCAACAGTCAGTGACGGTACTAGATTGGCCCGAAAACAACTCAGACTTAAGCCCTATAGAGCTTATGGTATGGAACGAAGGAAAAAGTTGCACCTCAACGTACTGGCACTAAAAATCAGCATTTCGTGGCATTTAATGGTATTTGGAATAATATTTCTTTAGAAACCTGTAATGATTTGATTGCATCCATGCCGCGCCGATGTCAAATGGTTATAACCAACAAAACCAACCATATCTTCTATATATATAAAAATGAAACCCGTTTCGCGTTGTCACGGCATCACGTGTGAACGGCTGAACCGATTTCGATAATTCTTTTTTTTAAATGTTTGTGGAAGTCCAAGGATGGTTCTTACGGAAAAAAATATTAAGAAAATCTCTACGCTAAGGCGGTACGAAGTTCGCCGGGTCAGCTAGTTGGTTATAAAAATACGTTTGATGATTTTGTATGAAACCCGTTTCGCGTTGTCACGGCATCACGTGTGAACGGCTGAACCGATTTCGATAATTCTTTTTTTTAAATGTTTGTGGAAGTCCAAGGATGGTTCTTACGGAAAAAAATATTAAGAAAATCTCTACGCTAAGGCGGTACGAAGTTCGCCGGGTCAGCTAGTTGGTTATAAAAATACGTTTGATGATTTTGTTTTGTATTCTATATTTATTAATGAAAACTTTTTATGTAATAAAGACTTATACAGGATGTTAGGTAAATGGGTATATGAGCCGACACTAGCCCATGTTAACATGGTCATATAAATGGTATGGTGAACTCAGAAAATTTATATCTTCATTTTTATTATTTAAATTTTCATACAAATCTGAATTAATAAAATTTATTTTGTATGAAAATTAAAAAAAATAAAATCATGATATCAAATTTCTGACTTCACCATACCATTTATATGACCATGTTAACATGGGCTAGTGTCGGCTCATATACCCATTTACCTAACACCCTGTATAATTTCCAATTTATTTACATTTACAGTGAAAGTGTTACGTGTCCCTAATTAGTTGTCCATCCCTAGGTCAATAAATGTGTAGGTGGCAATGATTTATTTATTTTAAAAATATTGATCGCAACTAGCTAGTTTCTTTTCTGGCCTTTAAATATTTAGAATACTAGCCAAATTACTTGTTATTAATAGGCACAAGCTACAAAGCCTCGTGAAGATTTTTTTTGGGACTGGAGAGACGGTCTTGTGTTTTAGTCATATAACGTCCCTAATTAGTTGACCACGACTGTATGTTTAAATACTCGCAATGGGCTAGGCAATTAAAGTGTAGCTCGCAGTAGCCTAACTAGTCACTAAACTTAACTGAAGCAACTTTTCTAGTCCCAGCAGTATGATAGTAGCTTTATTAAAATACCCTTATATTTTATACCCTTAAGCCACTACTTGATGGGGTGGGTGGTATCAGCGAGACGACTCCCAACAACGTAATCTGAATTTTTGAATGTTTCTATCCCTCACAAGCAAGGCGAGATACCAGTATAAGGGACAGTGACAGAATATAGCTAAGCTAATTATGCTTTTGTTAGGAGTTTGTGCTATACAATATTTAGTCCAACGTTGAAAGGAATCGAACTATCGAACGCTGGGACGCTTGTTCTCAACGACCCACACCCAAACGAGTAACCCTGTTAACAGTTGGGAAAAAATTCCCATCGAGTCACACTAGTACTGATAACAAGTACCTTTAATATCAGGATATTTTAAGAGCTTTTATTAGAAAGAAACAAAGTACAAAATACATTAAAAATCAAAATAATTAAGTAATCTAAAGCTTACAGTAAGAAAATACAGGTTAACGAATAGAGGTGTGACTGGAAGGGAATTTTTTTCCCAACGAGTAACGGTTACTTGTTTGGGTGTGACTCGTTGAGAACAAGCGATTCCGACACCGTTGGTCTATTGTCGTCTTGTGTAATAGTATTATTGACATAAAAGATGAAGCTTATTTACCACACTTATGCCCGTTTTCACCATCAATCCCAAATTTTTAAGTTACCTCTATGAAAAAAAACTCCTGTTATGTGTTACGTTATGGGTTACTTACAAATTAGGGATTGATGGTGAAAACGGGCATTAGATCGTCTAAATTAATTACTACTGCTACGACATGCAATACAAAGTAAAATAAAATAAAAAATCGGCAGCAAATATTACACACAAAAACGTACAAAGGACATTGCAGTTTGGACCTTAATCCAGGGCAAGAAGATTTAAAATGTGGTACTTTTGTCATACTCCATAATAAGGTATAAACTGCATTAGATTTTACAAAGACATTAGTTTCATATTTGCTGCGAGATTTTGAAAAGGTGAGTGAGTTAACCAATATGGCCCAAGCGATTAGTTGCCATTAAATAATAAGGCGAATGGGTACGAATAAATGAATTATTATTAATAGATGGAGTCATGGTTAGGTACAAAATGGAACATATGCGTACGTTTTGAAGCCAGTTTGATAGCTCGCATCGTCGCAACACTGTCACTTCACACGCTGGCGACAAAAGAAAAATATATTTACGTTTTCATTCAAATGAACTTTATTGATCTATATAAGAGTTCATTTTAGATCGATGAAAATTTAGTTTTTATGATGTTCAAAATAATAATTAAGAAATAAACGGTAAAAATTATTAATACAAATATAGCCTGACCAGGAACATAAAAACCCTCGCCATGTTGCGGAAAATTAATGGTACTAATTTCTTTTAACCCGGCGTCAATGACGCTGGGTCATATTGACCCGAGGCATTTTCAAACGTTCATAATTTTTTTTTGCGTCCATTTTGTGGTTCGAGCGTTCGTATAGCTGGAGATACAACCTTCCTAAGTCCATTCCGTTAGTTAACTCAGTGTGACTCCGGTTGCGTAGCGAAATAAATAGGCTTCAAATTAAAACGGGTCATTATGACCCGGCGTCATCGGTGGCGCGGTGATTTTGTGGCTTACTTCTATTCCTTATTTTGTGTTTAGTGCTAGCTTATGTTGTTCTTTTTTAAGTTTTAGTCAGAATTACTTTGTTAAATGACCCAGCAAGAATGAAGCGCTGCTAGAAGAGTCGGATTCCGAGAGTAAAGAATTTCAGGCTGTATTAGCCAGAACTTAGGAATGGCAACGAATGTGAAAAAGACGCAAGTAATGGGGACTCAGTCTTCGGATAATCTCGACCTTGCATTAGTACGACGCCAGCAAGTGCGTCATGCCACATTTATATGCCCAGACCATTTGATTACATACTGCACCAGTTGCAGCAGTTCCATGGCTCTAAATGATGAAGTAGAAGACTGATCTCATTGTATCTGCATATAAGAAGTTGATTTTATCTCTTTTTCACCATATAACATTGTTGATTGCTATAAATACTAAAAATCTTTACCAAAAACAAAAAAAATTAACTCGTTGTGTTTTTATACATAATTTTTACATGTTTTGTTTAAAAATTTATAAAAAATTGATTAATATTATGTATTAGTTTTATTTTTATTTTATTATCTCAGTAAATAACCCTATAAACATAGACAGTAATTAAAATTAAGATTACTTGTTCAATTTCCTGAAAAATGATCGATGAAGTATGGGTCAATATGACCCGGGGTCATCGTCTTTGCAATTATTTTCACGTCATTGGCGCCGGTTTAATGGCAACAGTAACTGAAAACTTCATTGACATGTCACCTTGCATGTCAGTCTATTGCTGTCAAAGTGTAAACAAACTTTATTTTAAATGTGCGCAATTGATTTTGTGAATTAAATTGCTAAAATCTTTTTATAGTCGTGAAAGAAAAGTGGTTCACAATGTGTTAAAGTATTTGTCGAAGAGAAATACTAAGGGTTCGGACAATATTTTCATTGAATAATGTTTCCGACAAAGGTTGTCAAATTGACTGACATGTTTATCGTATAGTACAGTCAACTATGAAAATTAGCTGTGGTTTGTTTCAACTACCTATTTTAAAGTTTTTTGTCACTTTTTAAGTATTGAATTTTATGGAATTGGGAAAGAAGTACCGAGTTTGAAGCGTTCATGAGCAGACATTGTGATTGAATATTCAAGTTCAGAATTTGATTATTGATGAATAATAATAAAATCCTACTTGCTCGATTGATGGTTTCATTTAATTTATTTAAACTAGTTTACCTATAATATAATATTTTTTTGTTAATTTATGAAAATATTAAATTAGCCTATAATCCTGAATCCTGATACATAAAGTTAGCCTATTAATTTAATTACAGGTACGACTATACCCAGTGTTGCACTATCAAATGCAATTGACGCGCCTCTATGCCAGGGTTTTTATGTTCCTGGTCAGGCTATAAATACACTTTACTAAGCACATTTTTTCATTCCTGAACAATAACAAAAACTGCCAAAAATGTACATTTCTAAAACGATGACCAACGACTTTTTGATAAAAAAAAGTAATTACAATTCTTTTTCGAATAATTTAAAGGTAATTTTTACTTTGTTTCAATTCTATTATTATTTCAAGTCCATTATTTAACATTAACAGTTATTGTAACCTAATATCTATTTTTTTATACAAATATTACTACTTTCAAAATCACAATGTATATTTTTGGCGCTATCTTTACCTACTCTACCTACCTACCACATTCACACATAGAAAAAAAAAGGAAACTTACCACTTAGCTCTTTTAGACCAATCCTTAGGCGTCCAGTGCAGACATTTGGGGTCGATCCGTAACATTCGCTTCTCCATTGCCTTTTCGTGTTGCTGTATCGTTTCCTAAAAACCATTAGAGAAAACATCACATGGAAAGAGAAGGCAACTTAAAAATAGAAAGGGACAACAAAATAATAAAAAAAATACGACAAGCCATATCAAAAAGAAAATAAATATTAAAAAATAAAGGAAGCAAAAATAAGCATTATTCGTTACTAAAAAAAAACAAAAATACAGGATGAGGTTATAAAAAGCCCACAACTAAATATTTCAATAATTTAAATCACACCCTTCGGCAAATACACCCACCTGATTGACGGATATGATGTACTGTCCCTTGTAATAGTTGATCAGATTCAAGTTTTGCAGTGTGCTTATTACATCTTCTTTTTTTATGCTGGTCAATTCACATATTTCGCTGAAAATTTACAGATATAGATAAGTTATGATGATATACAAAAAACACAAAAAAAGCTGAAGTTTTTTTTTTATTGTGGACAAGGAGGTACGAGTCAGGTTAGCACATGAAGGATTTTGTATCATTTATACAGGGTGATTTTGCAAACAGTTGCTAAATTCTTAGGAGTGACTCAGAATCAGTAAATTAAGTATAGCCTGACCAGGAACATAAAAACCCTGACATAGAGGCGCGTCAATTGCATTTGATAGTGCAACACTGAGTACAGTCGTACATGTGTTAAATTAATAGGCTAAATTTATGTATCAGGATTCAGGATTACGGGCTAATTTGATATTTTCATAAATTGACGAAAAAATATTATTAAAGGTAACCTGGTTTAAATAAATTAAATGAAACCATCTATCGAGCTAGTAGGATTTATTTTATTATTCATCAATAATCAAATTCAGAACTTGAATATTCAACTGCAATGTCTGCTCATTAACGCTTCAAACTCGGTACTTCTTTCCCAATTCCATAAAATTCAAAACTTAGAAAGTGACAAAAAACTTTAAAATAGGTAGGCCTCGCCTTTCTGTCTGTCACTGGGCTCTAGTCCTTTTTTGACGCATTAAAAATAAATCTATGGCGACTCACAGGCCTTCGGCCTCGCCTTTTTCTTCGATAGCTGAGCCCCCCTGCATACAATTTGTATGGAGAATTTAGTCCCTTTAGGAAAACGGGTGAACGCTTGGCGGCCATCTTGGATTTCCAAAATTTTGCATTTTTGCCTTAATCTGGACCATTTTCCGCGCCGAACCCCATTTTTACTTTTTTTCTAACTTCACCAAATCCCGTAAAACAATTCCCTAAAACCACCCATGTCCCAAAATTTTGAGTTTCCGTAACTCCCAGTGTTGCCAGGTCATCGAGCTAAAAATGGTCAAATGTCATTAGTTTGACCTATTTGCAGGAGGCGTCATCCAAATTTCTGACCGGAAGTCGGTATTTCCATTTTTTACATTTTTGGACCAAATCTCCCAAAGTATGGCAACACTGGAAATTTTTGGTTTACCAATCAATACTCCTTGACAAACTACGTAATCGCTTCATACAACTCGACTTTCCCAAATGTTGCCAACTACCCTAAAAATGCATTTGAAAAATCAGAAATCTGAAACTTTTTACAAAATGGCCGCTCACTCGGTCGCCATCTTGATTTTCTGACATTTCGGATTTTTCCCATAATCTGGGTCGTATAACCGACCAAACCACATTTTTGGATTTTTTCTGCCATATCTCCTTCTGTCCGTCCTTAACTTTAAAGACACCCATGTCGAAAAAAATACTAGTTGAAACAGACTACAGCTAATTTTCATAGTGGACTGTACTATACGATAAACATGTCAGTCAATTTGACAACCTTTGTCGGAAACATTATTCAATGAAAATATTGTCCGAACCCTTAGTATTTCTCTTCGACAAATACATTAACACATTGTGAACCACTTTTCTTTCACGACTATAAAAATATTTTAGCAATTTAATTCACTAAATCAATTGCACACATTTAAAATAAAGTTTGTTTACACTTTGACAACAATAGACTGACATGCAAGGTGACATGTCAATGAAGTTTTCAGTTACTGTTGCCATTAAAAGAAATTAGTACCATTAGTTTTCCGCAACATGGCGAGGGTTTTTATGTTCCTGGTCAGGCTATAAAAGTGCCTCGATCACCCTGTATAAATAAATAAATCATAAATCTTACTTGATGGTGATGATAGGTTTCTCGTTGTCTCCCACTGGCTTGCTGTGCATCAGTATGTCCAGGATTGTCTGTGCCCAGTAACTCCGGTACGACAACAATCCCAAATCCGACAGCGGTTTCTCGGGGGAACCCGTTTTGCCTTCGAACTTTGATAATTCGTAACCTAAAAGTAAAAAAGAATATTAAATATTACAGTATAAATACTGTGCAGTATTTAACTGCCTAAATAATAATAAAAACACAGAATGTACTTTTTTAAGTTGCGTCAAGACACTGAGAGGTAAATAAGTAGTTAATATTATTCATGATAATTCATGCTAAATCATGTATTTCCTCCGCCATTTTCCGCGGTTTGGCACCTCATGTCACATCATTTTACTGAAGTCAGCCCTATAGCTTCGGCGCAGTGCCGATCACTGACGTTTGTCAACAAAATGGTGCTTGACTCTTGAGACAGGCTAAATTACACCATATTGTTAATGACATTGAGCATACATTTTTTTAAATACCTTCGCGAAGTAAAACTTCTGTACGTAGTATTTATTATAATTCTGTGGTAAAACTAATAATAATGGTGAAAGAATCATGAAAATATCTCTACAAATACAAAAGTTACACATAACAAAATTCGCGCCATTTTGATTCGAAGTAATCAAGTCATTCGGAGAGTACAAACAAACAGTAAATCACCCCTGAGCCCCGATTACGGTAACTTTTAACGTCAACAATCCAGACACGCTTCTCGATTCTGCGATACGATTGGTCGTTCAACAGCGTACGTCAGCTGTTTTGACCAATCGTATCGCAGAATCGAGAAGCGTGTCTGGATTGTTGACGTTAAAAGTTACCGTAATCGGGGCTCTGGTCCAGTGCTGTTGACAGATCGTCGTCGAACGTCAAGTAGCGGTCGCGGTCTTTACTCTCCTGACTGAGTCTCTTGACACTGTCAACGACACTCATAAAAAACAATAGATAGCCAGTTCCTCCGTGGTTGAGGATTCCGGGTGAAGCTCGTTTCCACCTTCGGCCTAATCGTCACTTACCATCAGGTAAGATACAGGCCAAGAGCTTCCTCGTAGTGGATAAAAAAAATACTTACTAAATTCTATAAGGAGTTTTCCATATCCTTTTCTTTGGTATGGAGGTAGTGTTAATATACATGCTACATTGTAGTCTTCCGTGCTCTCTTTCTCTTTTGAAAAATATCCTACTATGTGAAAACCTGCAGAGAGAAAGCAAAAGCTTATTAACAAAAAAGTTTAAGACACATCTGGAAAAATAAATTATAATGACCAGTCGCAGGTTGAAACCCGCAGTAGACAAATCTGAAGCAAAAACGTAGGTATTTTTGTCACCATCTTATACTACTTAGCAGAGCCAGTTAATTAATGTGCCTAGTTGTGGGCTGGCTGGCACATTTTTTATTCAAATAACTATAAAAAGATTCCTATAAGATGACCTTTTGTCTATGGTACAACAGACATCAGTAACTAATCCTCATCACAAATGACTTTTTAATCTAAATTACCACAATAGCATACCTCTAGAGTCAAATTCCGTCATGACGTAAAATAAGAACGGGTCTGTGTCATAATACAATGTCTTGTGGTCGAGGAAGAGTTTGGCGAGCAGGCAAAGGTTCTGGGCGTAGCATTTGTTCTTCCGTCCGTCTATCTCGAAGAATGATATGCTGCCTTTCCTGTATATTTCGTTGCCTGGAGGGTGTTTTAGTTTACATTTGATCTGTAAATGTAAAGTTTATAACATTAATAAGGTTGACAAATTAGATAACTTAGTAAAAACACACTGTTACAAATCTATGCTTGAATCAGAGTCAGACTTTGATTGGTTAGTGAAATTCATTGTTTGTGTTATATTAACCATAAAATTATACTTGAAACAATCAACGACAGTATGTCTAGCGATTACTTACCAAGTGTCTTTCCAAGCACTTTTTACTTTTTCTATACTTCAAACAAAATTCGCAGATATAAATACACGGTAAATTGACCATTTCCTGAAAATGTAAACATTTATTTTTGTAATTCAATAATTTCTGTTTCTTGACGAAGATAAGTCACAATATTAGAATTACTTTTTTAAGAATCAATCTTTCATTTAAGACACTTACTTGAGGATAAGGTGCGAAGTACCAAGGCCGTATCCTATGCCGTCCAAGCTCAATCATTTCTATGTTCTTCATTCTTGTCACCAGGTCGTCATGACCGTGGGCGACCATACTGCCAGACTGCCTAGGTCTAGCCGTGGGAGTGGCGGCGCCACTCGCTATCGTGTCGCCTGTCTCGGATTCTGTTGCCGGTATGGGCTCTGAAGGCTGTTGATTGTTAGGATATTCAGTACAAAACACTTTTCATGAGGTCAAGAGATTAAGGTAAAGAGCTTCCACGTTGTGGATAAAAAAATCTTGTCATAATAAATGTTGAAGTAAATATCGACAATTTCTTAATCATGATACGGTTACCAACTAGTGCTCAGAACGCGTCATGGTTTTTCTTCTAAAGCCCGGTCTGTGAGCACGTAGAATTTTGTCCAATGACCAAGCAACCCATCCTTATCGCTCGCGCGTACGTAATTATGTTGCTATCGCGCTCACTGCAGGCGCCTGTCGCACAGTCGCGACAGCAATATAATTCCGCGCGAGCGATAAGGATGGGTAGCTTGGGGTCATTGGACAAAATTCTACGTGCTCGCAGACCAGACTATAGCCACAACGCGTCGTGAGCGTTTTCATAGGAGCCTTAACATGAAATTTGAAATGTGGACGTTTTACAGTGACCACAAAGCTATGGGAGCTGTTATTTAGCTCAATAATATTTTTGGTCTTTGATCAAAGTAATTTAAGTCCAACCATCCAAATGTCAAGGAATATTGATAGGAAACTAACCTCTATATCCAAGGAGTTAGCCTTCCGTTTCCTGTTCATCTTTTTCTGTAGCGCTGCAGCCAGTACCGCGCCTCCGTTGACAAGCGATGACGTGTCATGGGTAAGCGTGGGGCTGGCGGGCCGCGATATAAGTTGACGGGGCTCCGGCATGCCGCCTGGATATGTGACAAGTGCTATTGTAAGCGTGTATTTGAGATCAGGTCTTAATGGCGACATTGTAGACCAAGAAATAGATCGAATCGATCCACGAAAACGCGCCCCACCATTCTTCCGCTAATGTTTGAGTGTTATCAGTACACACTATTAATCCATGAGTGCACACGCACACTACAATAATGACGCTCGATTTGCTCGGATCAAACTCCCCGCAACCCGCGCTTCATTCGACCAAAAATTGGTGGGACGCGTCTTCGTGAATGAAACGATCTATAGTAGTTTTAATTTTTTACCAGTTATAGTACCTTACCTGGAAGTTTAGCTTTGAAACGTGGATTTGCAATACTTAACTTTACCTTAAAGTCACTAGACTAAATAATGCTGCACTAGATCAAGTTAGTTGTCTAATTATTGAAACTACTTTTTATTGAAAGAACCGAAATATTTTATTTTATTATTATTGCATAATTAGAGAACTACAGGAATCTAACTTTACATTTTATTGGCTTGATTAGGTACATGCAGGAATTAATTTTAGAGTTCAAAGAAACACAAAAATACTATTTACAGACTCCTAGAAAGCTGGTAACAGTTTTCTACTTACCTCATTATTAGAATAAGTAGGTATAGACTGTTAGTCGATTTTTTTGAGTGTTTCCTTGTAAGATTTACTAATTAAAGTAATTAAAAAGAGTGAAATTAACAATATAGCTCTACATAAGTAATTGTAATATTAAGAAATCACAAGGTAACACACAAGTGTAAGTATGTTCCCAAAGTAAACCAATTAAGTGATAGACATACAAAATCTCCAATATGAACAAATAAAAAAAAACGTTCACACAAATTTAGATAGAAACTGAACATACCATGTGCAAGTTTTTGTGTGGAACCATTGAGTGCATTGCTAAAGTGGGCTTTCTCTATTTTGGGCTGAGCGGGTTGGCTCACGAGGGTGGGTCTAATGCTATTGCTACTAGACTTCTGGCTTTCGTTGCAGACTGTATCATCTGCAGACAAAACATTACGTTAGCGGTCACTTGGAATATAAATTTCAATCATTTCCAAGCTTCGTATATCTGTAAAATTACACAACATAAATCTAACTAAACATTGAATACAACCATGGTATATGTGTGCCCAATTTTGAACAAACTAGCATAGCAATACATTGAGTGAGCCTTGATCAAATTGAAACATTGTGGCTTTTAAAAAAAAGTCAAAATAAAAACAGAAATAATTTTGAAGACTACAGGCATGCATATAGAAACCAATAACACAATTTTTAGAGTGAATTTTAAAAATGTATGGCATGCTTTCTATAATTTTGTAAAAAAAAACTATTTCTATGCATGCTGTCGTCCAACACCCAATTAATACAATTCACCTGTAAATATAACAAAACGAAAATAAAACTACCTTAATAAAAAGTTGAAAAACTATCATGTTTCTTTTTAATATTGAGGACCATCATGGTAATAAAAAACAACATGAAACTATTATCCTTTTAATTTTTGGAATATTTATAAAAACAATACTTTGCATGTTATTCTCACTCAAAAATTATCAGTTTACTAAATAAATTACCATGCAAAATCGCCAGCTTAGGTTTATAAAAATATGGAACTTTAGCAGTTTTAATAACCTTCAAATAGACCATTTTTAAAAACTGGTTTTAAGCTAAGTATTTACATCATTAGCAGCTAGCCAGTTAATTAGTATAAAAACAAAATATTCCAATATCAATTGCATATTTTTGGTTGAATTTGCTTGTCAAAGTTTACTGAGATTCAACTGAAGTGAAACAATAATGTTGACACCTACTTTGGACGTAAAAAACTAAAAGACAAAAACACACATACTAATAAAAGTAGGCATCACGCCACCTCCTGAACCAATGTGAGTCTTCTTCGGTGTGGTGGTGCCTCCGGTGGGCGCTCCATCCCGGCGAGGGAACTGGACCTTGCGTGTGTCCAGCCATGACTCGCCGACCCACTCGTCCAAGCGTTTGTTGACTGAAATAAGCAGTAATAAATAACTCGGCTAAAATTGCATATTGTGAAAGTTTTAAGGTTTATGTTGCTTTAATATTAATTTAAGATTCATTTAAACTCGTTTACATAATTGTTTCTTAATAAAATAGTAAGGAATTACATTAAAATGTGTTTATTGATTGACACTCCTCAGTAATCAAACCCGCGACAGTGCTACACTGCGAGTTTTCGCTCAGCATTGTTAAGTGGTAAATAAAATTGCCAAAAAATATTTACTTACAGTCAACATAGTGCACATAGTATCCTCTCTGTCCTCGACTTTCCTTGATGCTTATAATTTCTGCTAAAGGCCAGTCGTCGCCTCCTTGCATACGAACAGGCAAACGACAACCTTCCACTAAGGATGCCTGGGAGGAAAAATTGAAGAGTGACATGATCACAACTCGTTGATATTTTTATTCTAACAGAATTATAATAATTACTACATACCGCTGAGTCACAAAAAGTAGTGAGTTCATCGTCATTTTCGTTCATTTTACAGAAAAATCACACGACAAATTGTTTGGTTTGTTCGTCAACTGTCAATGTCACAGATGCTTTTTCTTTTTTAAATTGTTGTGCACAGATTAAAGAATTGACAAATAATAAAAATGCCACGGCTATAAACACGTCAAATTGAAAAAATACCACGGCTCTAAACGTCAAAGTCAATGATAAACTGTGTGTATCAAGCTTTAGTATTTTTTTTACCTGGAAACACTGAATTTGAAACATAACCTCAAATTTTGAAATTTGAATGTAAATGGGGGAGGATTTTCTAGCAAATATTATTTAAATTGATCCATAAAATACTGGATCGCTGTTGTTTTATTCCACAAAAATAATATAAACTTTTTAAAATGAATGCCTCTCAGGAAATGAGTGAAGCCGACCAAATCAAAACTGTAAGTACCTATTCAATTGAACAAAAACATGAGTAAAACTAATAAATTTTAAGTAAAACTAGCCTCAATAATCATTAGTTCCAACCGTATGTTTGCCTAATCAATATAATTATTTAATTCTTTATGTTTAAAGCATTCACCCAGTACACTTGATTACCTGAAATTACACTACATCAACCAATGACATCAACCTTAAAAACAAGCTGTAATCCTGTAATCTGAATTTAACATATTCCTTTTATTTTATTTACAGTTCAAAGACTTCCTGGTACAATACAACAAGCTGTCAGAGATGTGTTTCAACGACTGCGTACATGATTTTACCTCAAGGACTCTACGGCCTTCAGAAGTAAGCACTTCTAATAAATCCCAACTAATATTATAAATGCGAAAGTAACTCTGTCTGTCTGTCTGTCTGTCTGTTACGCTTTCCCGCTTAAACCTCGCAACCGATTTTGATGAAATTTGGCATAGAGATAGTTTGAGTCCCGGGAAAGAACATAGGATAGTTTTTATCCCGGTTTTTGAAACAGGGACGCGCGCGATAAAGTTTTTCTGTGACAGACAAAATTCCACGCGGGCGAAGCCGCGGGCGGAAAGCTAGTAATTCATAATGTTTATGGATTTTTTCAATGAAGGAACAAAAGTAAATGTAAATAACAGTGTTTATTAGTCTATATGTTAAACCTGATTATAACCAAAAAATATTAGATACTCATAGATACTGCGTCTTAGATGTAATGATGCATGTTATTATTCAAAAGTTAATCTTTACACTCTTTATTTTCAGGACAAGTGCACCCTAAACTGTATGGAGAAGTATCTCAGAATGAACCAGCGAGTGTCACAAAGATTCCACGAATTCCAGATGATCGCCAATGAAAACATGCTTGCTTTAGCACAAAAATCTGGCAACCCCAGCTAAGTGTAGTTATTTTACATAATACAAGTTGTATTTATTTATTTTGTTAGTTTGTTTTCCTTAATAGTGTTGACTCAAATAAAAAATGTTAAATAAACCTGTATTTAAGTTGGAATGTTTGATCATAAAAGTTTGGTTTCCTCCTTAGCAAGAATGTAGTAGGTAGGTACTTTGAGTAAGATCATAAAATTGGTAAGTTGTTATACTAACTCCCAACCTGTTGAGTGTCAGGATTAAAGAATATCTTGTTAACAAAATGAAACCAAAGTATTTTGTTAAATATGTCTTATATTAGGTTATATTTATTTCACTATCTTCGCAGTACTGAAATCAATAGTTTGAGATTGCTGTGTGACACAACAACCATGAGAATGTTCACTTGCTATCTTGTTTATTATCCTGTTTATTATCTTGTTTACTAGGCCAGTTAGTGTCAGTCTGACAGAGCATGCACATGATACTCTTCTTCGGGCAGGGCTTGTAGCACCTCTGTTCTGGTGGTGAGAAGTCCAACACAAAGGATGATTGCGAGCTGGTGTAGTCGAAGTGGTAATCGTTGAATTTGGCTTCCACGCTGAATTTTGCGTTGGCTAGGTTGTCAGATTCATCGGTGTTTAGAACGTACTTCAGTGGGTATGGGCCAGACGGTGCATTGCTGATGTTAGAGGGTTTGGTTGCGATGCTGTACTGCCCGCCATGTCTTATGACTCTTATAAGGGGTTGTCCACACGGGGGGGCCTTGCAGCATGAAGTAGTGGAAGGGCAGATGGCCACGCACTTCGGCGGTGGAGAGCAGCAGGGCTTGGAGCATGGAGGCCGCGAGCACGATGAAGGACAAGGGGCGCATTCCCCAGCCTTCATACAGTTGTGCTGCTCTATCTTTTTGAGGACCTCGCAGGATATGTGGCCTGGACGCCAGCCGCATCTTAGCTGAAAGAAGAAAGATGGTCATTTCATCATTTGGTTATAAGTATACCTACCAACCAATCTCGATTCGGCTAGTACGACACCGACATTGGTCTATTGTCGCTCTAAATTGTTATAAATTGTCGTCTTTTTATACCATTGACATTTAGCAGTATCAGTGCTAACTCATCACTCAATCCCAAGAGTATTTGTTATGGTGCCTATTTTAGTAATTTCTTGTAATTAAAAAAGAAGTTAAATTACTTGATGTTCAGGCGCGTCCCTCGCGGTGTAGAGCCATCCCATGTGTTTCGGGATGGGCCCCGGCTTTACTTCCTCCTTCTCCAAGCATCTGTGTTTCGGTAAGTCGCAGCGGCCTAAACAGCTCACTGAAGATTTGTTTGCTGAAGAAGGAATGTTCGTAGACTTATAGTGAGAGATTATAATAATTATTGTCGTGTCAAGGAGGAAATGTTCTTCAAATTTTGAGGAAGGTCAAAGTATAATGATAGTCGAGTCGAAGTGGTATTAATTGATTGCTTATTATTACTTACATCGACCAGGTTTACAACAGCATGCCATATTTGCGACTTAGATCTGTAAAAATAAAGATATATTTGTAATTCCCTTTCTTCCATCAAGCAAATCTTTTTTCTGAAATTGCCGATTCAACCCTACAGAAAGGTTAAGAATTCTTGTCATCCAGGAATCGAACCCAGGACCTCTGGATCGAGAGAGTCTAACTCTAACCACTCGACCACAGAAGCGTTATTGTGATTTCTAGTTTCGTCCTTAGCGTAAGTCACCAATACAGCCTATCGCCAAATTCACAGTGGTCAGTAAGTTCCTCTTGCTTTAAAACCGATATTAGTAGCCCGCAGGGTAGTAGGGTAGGGAAGTTACGATACAGAAGCGCAATAATGTTCTTACTTACCTCTTGTGTAGACGTTATGGTAGGTACAACATTTTCACCCTTGTCATGTTGCCCAGCAACTAACTGTGGTGGGATTTCTCTGAGGCCATTATCCTGAAAAACTATTGAGTAACCGTATTTTATTTTATGGATTTTTGAGTCACATGACAATTGTGAAAATGCTGTGACATGCAGCTATCATGTGTCTAAAGTTTTCGTTTGTGGAACACTCCTTTCTTCGTCTATTTTAATCAAGCAGAATAAGATCTTTTTAGATTAATCTATGCAAAAATGGTCTTGCCGTAAACCAATGCGTGAAACCATAGCTTGAACCCCTATTTTCGAAGAAATACATTCGTCTTTTCCTCTTTTTCTTACATAAATCTGAAGTTAATGCCTTTATTTGGCAAATGAAGGCAAAGTATATAAGGCTCCCTCGAATTGCCTCGAATATACTCACCCATGGCTCTATCAAGAACTAAACTACTTAGCTTTGTAGAGATCGGGTTTCTATTTAACCATTAATTTGCCTCTACCTCATGAGTCTAATACATATAGCTAGGTACTAGTTTATGTTCACCAATGTTTTCAATTCTGTTGTTGTTTACTAACTTCAGATTCAAAAATATTATACCAAAAAACTAGACTTAAAATAGGTAGCTGTGATTTCGCGTTATTAGTTTCCAACTCAACGATATTTTATTGCCTATAAACTCCTACCACATCAAATGATCTGTCTGCGAATTTTGTTCTTTGGGTGAATGTACTCTCCCAAGGTTATGAAATTGCCTTAGATACTGCTTCACTTGATCTCTAATCACGAAAACATTACCATCGGTATTATACTTTATGTATTTTGGATTCTTGAATGATATACCATCAATTTCATATAAAAATTTAATGCTGAATTATTAATTTTGTTTTTTCTTCTTGTTATTCATTGGTTTCTTAGTCTCCTTACGGGATGAAGTACAACAGAAAGCTTTAAATAACAAAAAGACTGCAGTGAAGAATACTGCATACACCGCCATGGTGTCCAGATAAAGGTACTGGTATAGTGGGACGGTGGCTGCAGGCGTCCTAAAGGTATAGTTTCCATTGCGAGCTGCGTACTCGATCCAGTACACCGCTGAGTTCATAGGAGACACTGGACGGTCATGCCACGCTTTGGAACGCAGCTTCACTTGTTCACGGAATCTGGAGAAATGAAAAGGTTCTTGTAGAAAGAAGGTAATGCAAATAAGGTGTTTGTCTCCTAACCAAATTCTGTCCAATCTTAAAGTGTGTTCCTTCTTTTCTCCACCAGAATTGGTTGGTAAGTGTTCTTTTTGACTTTTCGATGTTGGTTCCGTAAAAAAGTTGTTGTTCAAAATATCCCCTTTTGCATGGGAAAGTTTTTTAACACTTTGTAATACAAGTATTATTCATAGTGTTGCACAATGGTGCAATTAATAAGAGTGTCTATTTATACAGTTGTTCACTCTTGTTCTTTGGCCGAATTTCGACTGTGTGTCATTTCAATGTCAATGTAGAGGTAATTTTTTTATTTCTTTGTTTGTGTTACTTTACTTATTTGTTAATTATAACTGTATTGTTCTTTGATTGTTGAGTAATATTCGTCTACAAGGGGTATTCTTCGATAGTTGACAAGGGCAAAATGAGGTCAAAGTTAAATATATTATTGACGAACCAGCATTCCTTTAACTTAGCAAAAAATAATGTTTACTATGTCACAACACTTACTTAGGGTTCAGGACTTTTCTGAGACTGGCAACTAGATTCTCTTTAGTCAGGCTGTTGATTGGTTGGTGGACTCCGAAGCCGCTCTCCTCGATTGCCGCAGCATTTGCTGGCTGGTCACCAGTTATGGGCATGGCCACTATCGGCACTGCAAAGTGGATTGCCTCGGTTGTACCACCCATGCCACCATGGGAGATAAATGCTAATACTTTTGGATGCCCTGTAAGTTAAATCGTAATCAGTTAATATGAATTTGGCTGAAAATTTTAAGATGATAATTTTGAACATAACTTTGAAGCAAAATTATAAATAACAACTAGGTATACCTAATTTATTGACAAAACCTAGATTACCTTAGTTCAATACAGATGATCTGTCTGAATATCTTTAGACATAATGACAACACGTATTAGGTTGAGTTGCACCAGCTAACTTTGACCGTAACTATAAAGTTAACCAGTGTTTTTGTATGGAGTTTGACAGATTTCTGACGTTTGTCAAAGTTAAAATAAGATGGTGCAACCCAGCCTTATTCATGCTATGCTAACTTTTATGTCAAGCATTCGATTTGCTCAATCTTAATAATAACATTTTAAATAAGCAATTTGTAGGAGTTTTCCTAACGGATTTCGTATTTTAATAAATCGACAGTAAAAGAACAGCTTAATAGCCAATTAAGATTGAATATTTAAATATTGAATCTTTTATCGGTTATTTACTGCTGGGAAAACACTACACACACAGGTACAGTTGGTAGACAAGAAAGCGGATCTCTGGTAGAGCTTTACTTATTATTCTGAAAAATATATTTAGAAACATACCCAAAATATCAACTTGAGGTAACCAATTCCCAATGTAAATTTTCTTTTTATTTGCCAATAAGTCCAAATGTTTTTTGCTTAGCTGGTTAAAAGGTTTTTTGTCTAGGGTCGTCTTCTTATCCCATCTCCATATGAATCTTTGGGGCAACTCTTCAATAGTGTCTAATATGGCCTGAATCTTTTCTACGGATGTAAGAGAAAGGCTCACTGTTGTGCCGAAACTTAGGAATATCACGCCATGTTCCGCTTGTTCCACGAAATTTTTTAATTCCTGAAATGATAGAAAAATTAAAAATAAACCATAGCTGCCGTAGTTTTATAAATTGTTCTTATTAGTCTTATTACCTATTGTATTAAGCGTCGTAGACCTAGCTTTTATCCGCCCGCGTAGTAAGGTAGAGTACCAAAGCTATTTATTAACCTACCTATATGTAGATAAATTACGTAATCGTTTTACCTATAATACCTAGTGAGTATTGCAGTTTACGGTGACTCAAGCTCGCCTGTTGTGAAAGGAATCTAATACACATAAGTGTATAAATTGCAGGTAACACTTAGGTACTACTACTATTGGAAAGATAAAAAATTGCTATAAAAACGCAGTTTAAGATCGTAGATAATTGCGAGCCAATATAAGTATACCTAAGTTAATTAAGGCATCCGTGGTTTATGTAGGTTAAGTAAGGAGAAGATTTTAGTAAATCTTTAACTATCCAGCTGTTTACACAAACCTAATGCCAATATTCTGTAAGATATCTATCTTATATTTTTCAGTAGCTTTTGGTAGGAGCTTTTTTAACCCTAGATAGCTAACCTCCGTCGATTCGACGGGCATTAAAAAGAAATAACGTTGTAACTTTTTAATGTCACGTCCAAACGTTTTGTCCCGACTAGCCAACTCACAGGCCCGGGAGTCCTTTGCAGTGGTGTAAGCAGTGGACAGGTAAGTTTCATAGTTTTTAAGATATTTGATCTTTGCCCGTCGTTTCGACGGATGGTTAGCTTTACCGTAAGTAATTTAGTTCGAGTGGCCGCATACATTTTTTTAATAAATTTGAGATTTTTTTAGATTTTCGTCTTGTTTTCATTAAAAAATGATAAAATAATAAATCTACTACTATAAGAAGTTACTAACGATGCCCTGGATGCTAGTCCTGACCGTGAGACCGAAGACTTTCTGGTGGAAGATGATGTGCAAAGTAATCATAATTATCAACCATCAGATTATGAGGAAAGTTATGTAAACCCACCACCAGCCTTGTCTTCAGACGTGGAACGTGATTCGTCAATTATTTCAAATACCGTTCCCTCGGAAATTACAAAAATCAGCATTATATCATATCAAAATATGCGGTAAACATAAAGTTGATTTTTGTGTCACTTGCGCTAAAAAGAAAAAAAATATTTTATGATTTTATTACTTTTAATGTTTTTACATACCATATTAAGTCAAAAAACCGATTATTATATTTAAGATTTTCATTGATATTGCATGTCAAAGTGGTTACTTACAAAGTGTTCCAATTTCCTTAGAGGTCTAAGAAAAAATGTTTTAATTTAATAAATAAATAAATAAGGTGAATTTAAATAATGCACATTTATTCACAAACATATAAAGGAACCAAACTGTAAACAAGACTTAGATTTTTTAAATTACTTCGTCCAAAAAATTATGTTTTTAAAATACCCGTCGTTTCGACGGATGGTTAGCTTAAACAGGGTACGCCGGAAGGTTAGCTATCTAGGGTTAAGCACAATTAGGTGAATCAATTCTAACTAATTAGAGAACAACACCTCTACATTTTGCTTTATCTAACCTAGGACGTTCCATTTAGTCTAAATAAATATAAATTATTGACTCTTACCCCAGACAAAGGATTCGGTTTGCCGACATGAAATCCACCAATTTCGACCACATTAGCGGGGTACAAGGTCGACCCAGTCAGAATATAATGATGGTTTAGCAGCAAAAACTTTATCTGCCCAGCCAAGTCTTCCAGCGGCGGTATGTCGTCATAGTATTTAGCTAATTCATTCTGATTTGATCTCTGACTTATGAGATAGTATAGAGTCTTAAAATATGCGTCGAAAAACACTCTTTCCACCCTTTGGAATAAAGTTGGTTTCGTTCCCCCTTCCAGAAAATGGAAGGAAACGTACGAAGGATTGTTTGGGATTCCCAATCTTTTGTAATGCCATGGCATCAAGACATGCGTGGTTATTCCAACCACGGGAGCTCCTAACTTGTACGCTATTCCTAATGAACAATCACTATTAAACTGTTCAGTTAGCACCAAATCGTATTTATCTTTCCTGTTGACAAGTTTTTGTACATCCTTATTTGCTAACATCACTTCACAATCGTTTTTGCCGCTTAGCGCTAAGTACACTCCGACTTCAAATACGCCAAAGTATGACCTTTCAATTTTCACAGCATCTTCTACAGAGTCATTGTTTTTTTTTGGTATGAAGAGGCTTACATCGTGATAGTTCTTTGGTGGGTTGTCGTCTGGAAAGTGGGATATGACGGTAACATCGTGTCCTCTCCTGGCTAGTTCTTCCAACAGGACTTTGATTACGATAAAGTGGCTTTTACCATCATAAGGAAATATGCCGAGGATTTTGATTGCGTTAGTGGTGTATGCGAGTAGGCATAGTGTTGTCAAAAAATGATAGCGCATTGTGCGAAATAAATGCGCTCACGCGGCCCGTCTGCACAGCTTACCGGCCGGACGTGCACTGGCGGGCTGTAACATGACAGGTTGGGTTGTTGGACCGCATTCTAATTAATAGTCATTGTGAATTTCATACAATACCACATCACTTGAGCATACATTAGACACAACATGGACGTAATGGTAAGTTGTTTTTACGAATATTTTCAGGTAAGTAGGTACAATTTTAAAAACGGTGATGGCTGCCTGGAAACTTACAATCCCAAGTCGAGTCGAGTCTTCGAGTCCCATACCTCATTCACAAAAAATGGGAATATTGGAAAAAAACTATTTATGAAGTTAATAATACCTAAGTACCTTTATCCCATTTACGATTTTGCAATCTAGTAGGTACTTTAGTGATACTTTACCTACTTGTTGCTAAGCACTAGAATTCACGAAATGATGAATGATTGCTTTGCGCAAACTTAAAGGCGCGAGACCTACTGAATCATTTGCAATGCATAAACACGAGTATCTAATTGCTATAAGTTAAACTGGCTAAAAGCCAATAAAAGTACGACTGAAAAGTAATATGAATACTTTTAAAATGACTCTTTAATTGGTTTTTCACATTCTTTTCTTATCACTGAGCGGTTTCTTAGTCATTGATTTCATGGATAACCTTAACGCTATAATCAGCAAAGTCACTCCAGTGAGAAATGCTGCCAATACTAGAGCGATGTCCAGATTGATGTACTGGTACAGTGGAACATCAGCAGCAGGCGTTCTGAAGGTAAAGTTCCGATTACGAGCTGCATACTCGATCCAGTAAACCGCTGCGTCCATGGGAGAGAGTGGACGGTCATGCCAAGCCTTTGAGCGTAGCTTCACTTTTTCACGGAATCTGAAAAAATATTCTCTTTGTAGTACATAATAGTCAACGTGTTATGAAACAGCTATAGTACTAATCATGTGCTATTTTCGAAAATGTCCTCATTGGCCTAAAAATTTACTTACTCAGGCTCCAAAACTTTTCTAAAATTACTAATCAAGCTCTCTTTAGTCAGTTCATTGACTGGTTGTTGTACTCCGAATCCACTTTCTTCGATGGCTGCCGCGTTTGCTGGCTGATCTCCAGCTATTGGCATTGCCACAACGGGTACTCCAAAATGTATGGCTTCAGTCGTACCACCCATACCAGCGTGAGAGAAAAACGCTAGGACTTTCGGATGACCTGTAATTTTTTTAAGTCAATTAATCGTTTAGCATTCCTAGGTTTTTACAAGTTTTTTCTGAAGGAAAACTTTCCGTCTGCCCAACGCGGCAGACGTAAGGTATACCTATTGGCCAAATGCTCCATTTGCCTCTGATAAATTGTAGAAGGTAGTGTTCCTGCAGCCTGAATTACCAGATAATGAAAGGAAAACTTACTCAAAATATCCACTTGCGGTAGCCAATTTCTGATAAAAGTTTTATTTCTATCTGCTAACAATGCTAGATGTTTTGGGCCTAGCTGGTTGAACGGTTCCATCGTCAGTGATGCTTCCTTGCTCCATCTCCAAATGAATCGTTGAGGCAATATTTCAATAGCATCCAAAATGGCTTCTAGTTTTTGTAGGGTCATCAAGGAAAGTCTCACGGTTGTTCCGAAACTTATGTATATCACGCCATGTTCGGCTTCTTCCACAAAGTTTTTTAGGTCCTGAAATTCAAGTTTTATAAAATTTCTAAATTTCATATTCTAACACTCCAACATAATAGCAACAAAAGTGGCAAGAAGTGCTTATCTTAAAACATTGCCGCTTATGGTTGTAAAGGGTTTAGTTTCACTTTTGATTCAATGGAATGATACCTACTTACTTTTACGAGTTTGTTATATTACGAGTATTATGTAAGTACATAATGTTTACCTACTACTAAATGCTTTGCTTTTCATTGTTTTTCCGGGAAATAGAATCAATTTCATCAATTGACCTTTTACGCATCACCGGTAGGTGCGGAACGGAACTTTACCTAAATGAACTATTTTTTATGCCAAATCTTTAAACTGAATTGGACCATAGTTCAGCTTAAAGTTAGGATAGTAACTAGTGAAGGTAGTAGACATACTTTTAATAATGTTAACAATAAGCTTTAGTGTACCTAAACAGTTAAAATTAATAATAATAACTTGTACTTACTCCAGACAATCTGTTGGGTTTCGAGACGTGAAAGCCGCCGATTTCTATCACATTCGGCGGATAGAGACTCGATCCCGTCAAAACAAAGTGTTGGTCCAACAGCAAAAACTTTATATCACGAGCTAAATTTTCCAACGGTGGTATATCATCATAGTATTCTGCTAACGTCCTTTCATCTGCTCTTTGAGCTATGTAATAATATAACATTTTGAAATACACATCAAACACTGCACGTTCAACTCTTTGATATAGAGTTGGCTTCGTTCCGCCTTCTAGAAAGCGGAAAGATGTATAAGAGGGATTGTAAGGGACCCCAAACCTTTTATAATGCCATGGCATCAACACATGCGTGGTCACTCCAACTACTGGTACATCGAATTTGTACGCCAGTCCCAATGCACAGTCACTATTAAATTGTTCAATTAACGCAACATCGTAATATTCCGTTCTGTTAATAAGACCCTGCACTTCCTCGTTAGCGACCAGCACTTTACAGTTCTCATTACCACCTCTTGTCAAGTATATTCCACCTTTGATAACGTTCAGATATGATCTTTCCAATGTAGATGCAGATCTTCTTCGTCTACTTTTGCTTTCTTTTGGTATGAATAGGCTGATATCGTGGTAATTCTTCGGTGGGTTTTCTTCTGGAAAGTGTGATATGATAGTAACGTCATGTCCTCTTCGCGCTAGTTCTTGAAGCAGAACTTTGAAGACAATGAAGTGGCTCTTTCTATCGTACGGGAAAATCCCGAGGATCTTGATTGGGTTTGCTGTGTATGCTAGTGCAAGTAGCCACAATGTAAATGCCAATAAATTAAAATGCATCGTATGCGTTTGCGCCTGCTCTCTGCGCAGTTTACTGGTTGAATGCGCGTTAAAAAGTACATTTTAACTGTCAGTCTTTAGTGTTGTCATCAATCAGTGTTGTGCGACATTGGAAAACTTCCCGGAATCATTTTTTTACTCAAACTAATTTATTTTGTTTCCGCAGCGTAGTACAAGACAGCTTGGTAGTATAATACAATATCTTTTGAGAGTGATATCTCTTTGGGAACTGCATGCAATAAATTGTTTTTACAAAGTCAAAGAGGCTGACAAATAGAATAAAAATATAATTCTTATTAAAAATCTTTAATATAACCTAAGGATAAGATGCATAATATTTGGACCATTTTTACAAGACTCAAAACATACACCAGATGATTAGATAAAGTAAAGTAATAAAGTTAACATTTTTGACAGAGAATCGGTAGGCACGAGATTGTGCAATGATTTGAGAGTCGTGATGTGCTTAAAGATTTGTGATTTTCCACACTTTGAATTTCACACGACACGATAATAAAGTGCCCACGATATGACCGTTAAGTGTAATTTTCTAGAAAAAATCTAATATTTACATATTATTTATTTACTACCAGATCTTAATTGTCTTTCTTAGATTTCTTTTTAGTGTTAGCATTCTTAACTACTTCTTTGCTTTTTCTTCTACATACAAGACAGCACAAGAATTTTAGTACATAAAAACTAATGAGAGAAATTAAAATGAATACAGCTAATATATCTAAGCACCAAAACTGGTAGAAGGGGACGTGGACAGTGGGGGGTACAAATGTAAAGTTAGGGTTTCTGGCGACGTACTCCGTCCAGTAGATGGCGGTGTCCATCGGCGAAGATGGCCGGTCGTGCCAGACTTTCGAGAGGCGTTTCACGTTTGCTCTGAACCTGAAAAATAAAGATTGTAGTCTTTTACTCTACATTATAGGCTACTATGATACTAATATCTATGTAATACAAAACGGAGCCTTTGAGTCTCAAAAAGGAAATATTGGTAGAAGTTTACTAAAGATACACGCACGAAATCATTCTTTGAAAGTATGTATGTGTATCTAGGAATTGAACCTAGAAACTTAGTCGAAAGATTGCAGCATTCACGTGGTGGTTGGAGTCTGATTGGCATGTGATTTACTTATGTAGGTAATTTTCTTAACTTAAATTGTGTGTAAGTATTTACAATATTATTCTGAATCTTGTTAGGTACCTACTTGTTTGAATAGTGTACCTAATTGGTACTACCGTTCTATTGATAAATAAATAAATGGAACCTTGGAAGCTCAACAGGATCAACATTCCGTATCCTAAAAAATACTTACTGAGGGTCCAGAACGATTTTGAATTTCTCAAGCAGCTTCTCTGTAGTGAGCTCTGTAGTTTGAATTTGCACTCCCATTCCACTTTCTTCCATTGCAGCTGCGTTCGAGGGCTGGTCTCCGAAGATCGGCATGCCCACTATTGGGACGCCGTGGTAGATAGCCTCCGTAGTCCCGAGTAAACCGCAGTGGGAGTAGAACGTGACTACATTTGGGTGAGCTGAAAATATGGGAAAAATTGGTTGAGATGTGGGTAGTAGAGATGGTAGTTTAAAAGTTAGTACTTTCATTCATTGCTAAATATTCAATTATTTTTTATCCATAGTCATAGTAATAATAACTATTATCGTATACTAAAGTATCGAATATTGGGCAATAAATGAATTTAAAAACTTTGAATAAGAAATTGGAGTTCAAAAAACAGTAGTAAAAGAGGTGCTTTAACAGTTTATTTGTGTATTAACCACAAAAAAAACTTTAGTATTCTGGATTAATAGTAGCTCGACAACGTACTTTAACTTGATTATATTTTCGGATTAGATTAGGCAAGACGTTCAAAGTCAATTGTATACATCACATGATAGGCTTATGAGTGTTGTAATCTAATAATTGACACCTGAGAGATTGTCTAGTTATCCACTTGTTGAATTGGAGCATGAAGGTGATTGTACTACTATAATGAATGTAATTTAAAACCGTATCAGATCCAAAAAATATCAGCATAGCATAGCAAAATGTATAATGTTCGAAGGGGCTCAATCTCACATAGTAAACATAATTAAAATACATAATCAATTATCTTAAATCTTAAAAATGGTTCTCCGCTCTACATGTTGTATAGCGATTTTCGTAGTTCCTCTACTACGAAAAGATTTATACTACGAAAATGTTTCGAATCATCATCATTTCAGCCACAGGATGTCCACTGCTGAACATAGGCCTCCCAATGATTTAAACATCGCCCGGTTGGTACCGGCATTCCTGCTACCTATGCCTTTTTTCACGTTTCCAATGCAATGGTAAAATATTTTTTTACTTAAACCGTACTTAAGTAGTTTATAGACTTGACTACTATGGTAAAATAATCTCGCTATTATAGTTAAACCTTGGGAAGTGGTTTTATGAATGCATGCATATTGCATTTAGATGTAGTGTCGTAGTCGTAGCGTTTTATACATGCTTAGAATTGTATCGTTTCTACCGCAATGGTCGTAGCTATTTATTAATTCGTTACACGTACATAACTACGAATACCTACGCCTACGAAACGTAAGACTGGCAGATCTTAGTTTACATAACACTCATGTTTTTGCAATAGGCTGCATATATTTATTTAATTACACAGCAACAGACAACAAGTCATGTAGATACTGTTATTACTTTATTATGTTTCTGTTTTGAGATATAAATGTCTTAAACCATTATACATTATTCGTATGTACGAGAATTATGTATTAAATTGAGGCATCATTATAGAAGCAAAACAATGCATGGAACCGTTTATTTAAGATAAGATAGGATAAGATATTTATTTATTTGCTTAAAACATGGTATGCATAATTAAATATCGGTGTTACATGTTGAAATGTGCTCATGTTCTGCTTCATCAAAAAATGCATGCAAATATTTTATATACAGTAGCCGAAATCGAATTAATTAGAAAAAAGTTCAAAAAAGATAATGTAAAATAATGTTAAAAGTAGACAATGATAAAAAAAATATATTCATTTTATATTTACATATTTCTTTAAGATAATAATATCATGTAAAAGGTTATCATTATGTAAAAGACATGATTTATGTTGAAGTAACAATAGGTACTAATTGCCTGTTGCAGAGTAAATTACTTGAGGTAGCTAATGTAAATAATTAAATGCATCTGATCCATAAAAATAGTTAAGAAGACCAATGTTATCATGGAGTAGATAGATATTACATATAGGTACTTAGGTAAATTTCAGATGACATTAGTTCACAATGGTCTGAAAAGAAATATGATTCTGTGTTCGAAAGCGATTAGGTATTGAAATGTACGAGGTATCGTGTATCTGCATTCTTTAGATAAACGTAGGTAGGTTTAATCTATATTTATAAAAGCGAAAAGTCAGTGACTGATTGACTGACTGACTCACTCAAAACGAAATCTCAGAAACTACAAGTCCTAGGAGACTCAAATTTTGTATGGGGGTTCCTTTTAGAACGTACTTAGGTGCTCACTAAGAACGGATTTTACAAAACTCCCCAAGGGGTTACACGGGATCCACGCGTACGAAGTCGCTGTAGTAATTTATTACAGCTACTTATTTGTTATGATAACGCGTACGTAGATACCTTTATTTGTTCACGCATCCTTATCAATATCATTGAGTGGTGTAACATAATACTGATAAGATTTCTAGTCTGTCTGTCTGCACTTTATCTAAGACTTTTTGCTGACTAGGTAATTTAATTATTTAAGGTAATTAAAGCACGTTATTTTTAGTACTTGGCTAGTCATTCTTATCTATGATAGTTAATAAACAGATTTTACCGGTAACGTTAAACAAGGAGGCTTATTTTGTTGTCATTCATCAAGGTGCTATGATTTTGAACTTTGGACATCAGATCTTCGTGCGTTTTATGATGATTAGGCGTTAACCGTTTTTTCTACGGCTTCCAAAGGTCTAAATATGATGATTTTTTCTTGAGATTAAAAATAATATGGGTATTTTAATATCATCTATTTTTAACATAGAGCGTGGTCACGTTACGTACTAAACTACATTTAATAAACATAGTTAATCCTATATCCCATCCTATTGCCTAAGAGCTTGATTTGAGTGACAACCATTGGTAACAGTCGTCTGTATCTGTAACTGGTATCTGTTACCAACTATTTATTTACGAGTGTAAATAGGCACATAGCGAAAGGTGAATGTGAATAAGTAAATGACAAAAAGACTATCGAAAACTCACCTAAAATATCATTCTGTGGCAGCCAGTCAGAAATGTAAATATTCTTATAGTCTCCTGGTAGAGTCTTCTCTTCCCACTTGAAGATCACTCTCTGTGGGAGCTGAGAGAGAGCTTTGGTGATCGCTTCCAGTTTGTCCCTTGGCGTTGCTGCAGCTTTCAACATGGATCCAAAGCTTACGTAGATGACGCCATGTTCTGCTTCATCTATGAATTTCTGCAATTTCTGAAATTCAATTATACAATGAATTCTTCAATGTCAATAGCATAAAGTCTACTTTATCTGTTTGTATAAAGTAAGATTCAATTTATTACAGTGAGATAAAGGGGTTATACTTATTAAACATCTCGGAACCTCTATTTGTATGTACAACACATATTTCAAGATAACATTATCTATCTACTATTTATGCGCTTTCAAATGATTAACGGCTTGGTCTAGAATTAATTCCGTCATAATAAATACCAACATGTAACTTAGGTACCGATATTTCTTTAATTAAACATAATATACATATTTTATGCACCTAGTTATAGAACTGCTTTTGAAGATTAAAATTCAGTGGAAACAAGATGTACATAAAATAATACCTACATAAGTACTCATTTTAGCAATGTCATAGATAAATATCAATATTCTTTCATCGTAAAGAGCTAAGTACTTATGTATCTTTTTGAAACAAATGTTGATCATTGAAGTAATATTACTACGTATAGAACAGACATCGCGAACAAAATATGTACAGTGCGGGGTGCGGGGCGGGAATTTGACGGACAGCTGTCAGTCAAATCCATGACTATCAAGTTTCATAATTTATGGCGATAAAATCTGCACCAGAAAATGTCGTACTTCATTGATAGGATTGCACGAATAGTGACGTTCCTGCGGTCGCCTCATCATAGACATTGTGAATCGATTGTGAAAATAAACAAATCGGCTAAATTGTGTTAAATTTTCATGGTGCTCAATAGCAAAAAGGTTCAGCTACTTACATTATTTTCTTTTATTATATTGTGCGTTTCCTGTAATGTAATCTAAGCTCCCCTCCCTTAGACTAAAATTAGCCCTCCTAGACAAGTGACAAAACGTAGCAGTTGAAACATTCGAAATCACTTCGCTCTGCCGTTTTTTGGTGTTAGTTACTTCACTCTGTGATGCGATTTTAAAATTACAACTGGCGATTCCGAATTCACAACTGAGGGGACTGAGGCTAATCGTGTTACTTGTGCTACAAGTGCGTATGGGCTTCATACTGATGCTTAAGCCATTAATTATTTTTCTTCCCGATTAAAATCTAATGTAATCGATAATCGCCTTGAGAATCGTTAACTGGTATTTTCTAATTCGATAAAAAAATTACCCATCTCTAGTTTAAAACTGTCATCCAACAGCGCACGAAATATTATGAGTTATAGATAATGATACCATTACAGAGGCGACACTTCGTTTACGTTTAGTTTCTGCCTATTGAATTGGATACTGTAAGGAAACATCGTCATCATCATTTTAGCTACTGGACGTCCACTGCTGAACAAAGGCCTCCTCTAATGATTTCCACATCGCCCAGTTGATAGTGGCCTGCACCCAGCGTCTTCCTGCTATCTTCAGTCAGTCCATCTTGAGATTTTAGAAAAATTCCCACTCGTCACGGTAGGAACAAAGCTAGGGATGACCCACGCCTTCATTCCAGAACCAATAAAATAACTGAAAGTCAGAAACTTTCAGTTATTTTATTGTCTCTATTGTTAACTAACTCAGTGGTTGATTACACGTATAATAGCTGTGAGGTAGAAGTTACGGAACTATTCCCACCTCTCCTTTTCACCGCTGCATTTCCTGTGTAGCTAGCACGTAGACTAGTTGATTTAAAGCCAAGGTATATCAGTTTTTAGGTAATGACTTAGTGCATCTAAAAATGTAAAACTTTCTAGTTTTTTGTCACATTGAAAAATCTAAAAAGAAGCATTATTTTTTTTACGTTCAAGTGTTTCTAAAAAATTTAAATGGAAGCTTTTGTTGACAACGTATTGCTTACTTTTTCAGCTGTCGAACGAATCACTTTTATACTCATAGGTCCTGTACATCGGTAGATTTGGTAAATAAATGAATCCATCAGGACTCAGAAACTAAAAAAATTAAAATAGCTGTAATTTTTTAATACTGGATTTGTCGATTAAATTTATCATATTATTGCGCCCTAACGGGTCGGACACTGGTGACCAGACACACTGTACAATTATTATAATTAGCCTATCTCGTGAGCTAGGTGTCAATAATTAGGGTGATTTACTTACTAACCAGTCGCATACGAACAACAGCATTGAGATTCAAACAAGTTTGATCCATGATGCCGCACGACTATTGTGTGAGCCCACCCGTACCCCAAGCTTATTTAGCTTAACACAAGGGGCTGGACGGGACTATAAGTAATTTGTGCAATACAAAGTGCTTATATCTTTAAAAAAATCTTTTTATTGCTGTATTTATCCTTCCTTTCGTATACTAATTTATGCGTCAGTGTCAAGTCTGCGATTTTTATTCTTTGAAATTTTCGTAAAATGGCTGCCGCCGCGGTGACGCCTTGTAATTAACAAATTAAAATTAAATTAGTGTTTTAAAGTGCATAAATGTACAACTTAATGGTAAAAAGTCATTCCTTGATTTTTACTTAATATGTATCTGGAGTTATTTGAACAGTATTTTCATCTATAGGATGGCATATTTCAAAAAACAAAACTGCACTCAAGCGTGTTGTCACAGCAACCGCTGAGCACAAATACTAATTGAATTTCGGTCCATGGACCTGTTTGCGTGCCAGAAACAGTCTAGTTGACATGTCTTCTCTAGTACGTATAACTCAATGATGTTGATAAGAGATATCAGTAACTGACACCATCATCACAAATGTTGCGATGCATTCTGTTGCATTTATAAATTATCACTAAGGTGAAAAGTGTTTTGTTGCCAAATCCCGTGATAGTGATTGTGAATTTATTTGTTGTGATGTCGTTATCAGCATCATCTTTGGAATAAGTACTTAGATGCAAAAGGAATTCGCAAGTCATCGTCATTCACTCACTATTTCCCTTTCCCTTTATTCGACCCACGACAACTCAACCCACTCATTATTTTTTCCTTACTCAACCCAATTTTGTTCCTTACTCTACCCACAACAAATTTTTAATTTTATGTTCCTTATTCACCCCAAAAACATTCCTAGCTCAACCCATTTTAAAACCACTTTAAAAATATAATATTTTTATGTACGGTTAGAATAAAAATATATTTTTTAGAAATTTAAGCTCAGTTAACTTTTGTGTTAAGATCGTTCTATTAAATAAAACTGCAGGAATTCTGATACAATAATATATTTGAAAAACGTTTTTCACAAAAGGACACAAATCAAATAATGACTAATTAGAATCTACTATAAATCCACTATAAATCTATTATAAATCAAACGACTGTGATTTTTTATTAAATCAATATAACCAAGCGATGGCGTATAATTTTTTCCCTAGACACTTGTTCATGAATGTACAAATATTTCAAATAATACAATGTATTTTATCTTTTTTTTCAAGCGGTATGAGATGACAAAAGAAAAATAATAAAAGTATTCATGTGGACAGCTAATCCCGCGGTAAAAGTTTTCAGCCTCTTAATTTGTTTATGTATTTACCTTAAAATAAAATAAAATCTTTGATATATTTTAGTTAATCAACATAATTATTCATATCTATCATTTTTTTATGTAGGTGATGTTTTTTATTTTTTTTTATTTAATTATAAATCAATTTTGTACATACTAGTATGTATTTATCATTATAAATTTCTGAAAAAACAGTAAACGTTGTTTTGCTATCCATACTTATTTTTGGTATATTTACTTTGGGTTGAGTAAGGAATGCATTTGGGTAGAATAACGAAATTATGTAATGGGTTGAGCTAGGAATACTAATTTAGGATGAGTGAAGAAATGGGTTGAGTTGTCAATGTTGTCATGGTTGGTTGCGTGATAGACAGAGTTACTTTCGCATTTATAATATTAGTATAGAGTATAGATTCATGGGAGTGTAGGCCAAATTCTCCAAAACAAAGTAAGGAAAATCCTGTAAGTAGTGGAAGCTAACTGTAACCGATCATGATGATGATGATCCTTGAAGTTGAAAAGCATCATTTGTAATACCTACTAACTGTACCTACTAGGAGTGATGATAGAGGGAAACGATAGCAAAGTATGGCCTTGATTATTCGCCACCACACCATGTGTTCATGATTATAATTATTAATGATGTACGACAAACATTAAACTAACGAGGATACTTCCTTGTTTTCTATGGTAGTTTACTATTACTTAGGACTTGGCATTATTATGCACATTTATTGTCCTCTTACGTCATTGACTTCTTGAAATATTTTTAGTAATTATATAATATTTCATTATCTTTAGCGCCAAAAATAAGCCCATATCTGATTTCGAGCCTCTCAGCATAAATAATGAACGTTTGACCCAAGTGGATTCTGAAAAATACCTCGGACTCATACTTGATAGTCGATTAACNCTGACGACACGTGCTTATTTTACTCCGGCAGTAATATGACTTCTATTGCCAAAGATGCACAGGATGACCTAGATTTGCTAGTTATTTGGTTTCAATCTAACTTACTAACTTTAAACATAGCTAAGACCAATTTCATTATTTTTAGCGCCAAAAATAAGCCCATATCTGATTTCGAGCCTCTCAGCATAAATAATGAACGTTTGACCCAAGTGGATTCTGAAAAATACCTCGGACTCATACTTGATAGTCGATTAACTTGGAAACCACAGATCGAAAAAACCCGAGCAAAATTATCAAACCTAATGTCTGTCCTGCGCGGTAACGTACACTGTTTTCCTACGTCCGTCCGATATACCATTTACAATGCATTGGTAAAACCCCACCTAGATTACTTAATCGAGCTATACGGTTGTGCTGCTAAAACTAACCTTAAAAAATTACAGACCGCTCAAAATAAAATTATAAAATTGCTGTTTCATTTTGACTTCTTAACTCCAACATCAGAAGTTTATAAAAAAACCGGACTTATGTCTTTGTCCCAAATATATAAATACAATACATGTATACTTGTACGTAAAATACTAGCAAAGTATATTCATACACAAATATCCTTTAATATTAAATCACAATTTTCAAAACGTTCCCTACGAAAACCCAATGACATCCAATTGTTAAGACCCCGAACAAACTATGGTAAGAAAAATGTATTGTATGAAGGGGCGAAACTGTATAACAAATTACCTAATGACATCAAAGGCACAAAATCATTCCTATCGTTCAAAAAAAAGGTTAAACTTTATTTCATGAGCCAATTCTCGGAGTTTAATTAAATCTGTTAAAATGATAATTTAATAATACTAAAAATGGTTGAAGCAAATAAAATCAAAATAACTTTAAAAAAAAAGTGACTTAAGTACAACATTCTCATAGAAACTAGAATACGATACGTAATTGGACCTGTCGTTACGAATTATAACTACTGTTTTCTTAGTGTACCCACGAATGGCCAATATATTAATACTCGAGTGACTGCTATTGTACGCGTCTGCTTCGTGCAAAAAATATTAAAATGTAAACAATTAAAATTGTATAAACTTTAAATAATCTATAGTTTTAAGGTTAATTTTGTATTTCTCTTGTAAGTGAATGTAATTCTTTTAGAGAAATAAATGTCTTAAACCATTAAACCATAATTAACTATTTAATCAAGTGTGTCTACTGTCTGCCTCTTCGTCGCTTTTCCAAGAAATAAAATTAAATGTTACCTAATAATATAGAAAATTATATAGCTTTTAAGTAAGCGGAAATGACAGTTTTGTCCATTATTATGTTAGTAGGTACATACCTCAGGCAGTGGCTTTGGCTTAGCCACATGGTATCCGTTGACCTCCACTATTTTTGGGGGATACAAGTTTACTCCAGACAAGGTGTGGTGGGTATACACGAGTTGGACCCTAATATTCTGGGCCAGTTCCTCGAGGGGCGGTACATCATCGAAGTACTCCCGCAATGTGCTCTCATCTGTCCTTTGGCTCGCATACTTGAATGCGGTATTAAAGATATTGTACACTATAACTCTCTCAATGCGTTCGAATAGAGACGGCTTTGTTCCACCACTCAGGAACTGCGTGGAAACATACGATGGGTTGAACTCCACCCCAAATCTATTCAATTGCCACGGCATCAAAGTATGCGAGGTGAGCCCGATCACGGGAGCTCCCAGTTTGTGTGCCAAACCTAAAGAGCAATCACTGTTAAATTGTTCCACTAGAACCACATCAAATTTAGCTTCAGATTTCCACAGTTTTTGGACATTGTCGTTGGCCAACAACGCTTTGCAGTTGTCTGTACCGGTACCAATCAGGTATACTCCAATCATGATTAAGGTAAAATACGACTTTTCGACGGGTATAAGCCCTTCCACTTGAATAGATGTTCCGGCTAGACTAATATCTTGGTAGTTCTTGACGGGAGTTTTCTGTGGGAAGTGTGTGATGACCGTGACATTGTGTCCTCGTGCTGCTAATTCTCGTAGATAGGGTTCGAACACGAAGAAGTGACTTCTGCCTTGGTACGGGAAAACTCCTAGTATGTTTAAGGGTGTGACTTCATTGATGAATATCGCGGTTAGTATTGTGATGATAGTCGCTGGGAGGTTCATGTTGCCGCTCGTGTGAGGCGGTCCGCGGTGCGCGAGCGACTGACAACGTGTATGATATCACTTGCGGTTGTTACTAATTTTATCAGGCAATCGTAAAATAGTTTCTACGGCGTCATGAATATTTGCTACGTTTGTATCGTTTTCTCATACAATTTTGATTGAATCAGAGTTAGTAAGTAAGTCCACTTTCTGATCGTCATGTCTCTTGTCTGTTTTAGGAACGTAATGGTTTCAAATTACTGAAATACTGCAAGTTGCAATTTGCTGTTACCATTTGCAAGAAAGAAGTTTTTGAGATGGAAACAATTAGGTAGGTACCTCAAACTAATCAATCCCCCGCGCGTGTAGGTAAATGTGTAAATAAGGTGGGTTTACAGGTCAAGGTCAATGCTATGGCACAGTAGGTAAACAAACGATCGTTGTTAATTTTCTAAGTCCACTTCCTCCATTGTAACGAGCCTCCTTCAATTATTTCGAAAATCTTCAAATGTATTATTATTAAGTAAGTATTTCACTCAAAATAATTTTAATCCTTTGAAAACTTTTTCCAGTCGTAACATATTGTTACAATTTTTCGCATATTATGATTTCGTGGGCTCTATTTCACCTGCTTAGGCAATTCAATTTTTTTAAGTTATTAAGACACTAGCTTTCCGCCCGCGGCTTCGCCCGCGTGGAATTTTGTCTGTCACAGAAAAACTTTATCGCGCGCGTCCCTGTTTCAAAAACCGGGATAAAAACTATCCTATGTTCTTTCCCGGGACTCAAACTATCTCTATGCCAAATTTCATCAAAATCGGTTGCGAGGTTTAAGCGGGAAAGCGTAACAGACAGACAGACAGACAGACAGACAGACAGACAGACAGACAGACAGAGTTACTTTCGCATTTATAGCATTTCGCATTTATATAAATGGTCTGATAAATAAAAATATCTTTATCTTTATCTTTATCTTTATCTTTATAGTTGAGATTAGAGTTCCTTAAATAAAATATTAATGAACAATGATGATAACTTGATTGCCTAACAGCTTATATTATTTATTCAGTGGTAATGCGTGTGTCTAGTGCGTCCAAAGATTAGATTAGATAGGTAAATGTTATGTTCGATTTGAGCGTATAGATGAGGTGTGAGCACATATGTGTCGCTTAACTTCAAACTCGGATAAATCCAATTCTAAGATTTTTTGAGATTTTGGTATCAAATCAAAGAGAAAAAAAATATGTTTTAAACATTTTTATCAGTCGTGTATAAATCAGCGTGGTTCTTGAGAAATAAGCCGTTAAAGTCGTAATATTTTATATAAGAGAGATAGATCCATGAGACATTTTTTTTCAAACGTAGCTAAGTCCATGAGAGCCAATCAGGTAATTGCGTTTCTTCAACATGGCCGCCAGTTGACGAAAACTCAGCGACCAGTGGTATCATGCGCTCCCGCTTTTTATTGTTTATTTGCGATATTCAGACAGTTCCCATGGATAATTATATTAAAATTGTGTCACCAATTGCGGGCTTTAGCCGCAAGCGGCTTAATATAAAAGTTCGCCTTAGGAAAGAGGAAAAAGCGAAAACTCGGTAAATTTGATATACCTATCCCTGTGCGTAGTTTGGAATTTAGAGTTGGCACTAGTGTTGTGTTAACCATTTTCGATTATTATTTTGTCCTTCTATTGTTACAGAATATTTTGGACATAAGTATGTTTATGATATACCTAATATTGACTACATTTCTTTCTCCGATCTTTGTGTAGGTATGTTCATGTAAGTTTTAGAATACTTATAAAACATGCTTTGTGGAGTTGGGTCGTCTGGATATGTTTTGCAGTTTTTTGCTAAATATAATAAATAAATGTAATTATGTGAAATAAAATATTGATCTATTGAAATGATTTATAATAAACTTACATTTTTTTCCTTTAAGTTAGGGGCTGGAAACGCACTTTAGCCAATTGGGTATAATGGTCATTGTTGGTGGAATTGAAATATTATGTATTATAAAAAATGCTTAATATTGAAAATGTGATAGGGCGACCAATTCACGAAGAAGAAATTGAAGAAGATGACTGAAGAAATATTGAATTTTGTTTAAAATAATTAAATTGGGTACTTTCTTTTTCTATAAAATAATAACTAGATTTTCTTATTTTGTTTTATTGTTCTATTCAGTTTGCTGCTACAAATTTGACTGTCGATGGTATACCGCGATTTCGTCACTACCACATCCCTAGCTCTAATCGTGTTTTTTCATAACTTGACAAATCCGAATCTATTAAATCAAAACTCTATAAATCCTCATTGCGTTTTTTCAAAGTTGGATAAATTGCATTCCATTATATCAAATGAAGGTAAATCCAAACTAAATATTAAATTTTTGAGAGAATGCGTGATTTAAATACTGAAATGAATAAACAGGATCATTTTCTTCAATAGTAGTGTCATAATAAAAAAAAGACTGCCTTTTAATTCATTAAAATAAGACTATAAACACTTTTTATTAAATATCTCCGAACAGGGTAGAGTGGATTTATCCGAGTTTGAAGTTATGCGACACATATAATACCTTGAAGTGAATACCAAACAATCGATGAATGACTCATTTTTGTCTAGTCACTCTGACGGAAAAAAAGCCGGGGAGATATACCCGTTAACCCCTCTAAGCTAAATAATTATGCTTGTTTTTTTCTTTATTAGGAAAATTACGATTAGGTTCACCACATTAGTTCCAGCAGGCACCGAACCCTCGTTGCTCTTATTGATTTTAATTCCGTCAGTCCGACACCAACATCGTTGTCATGGGCTACTGTCACTTTTAAAAAACTTTATTGTGCAAAAGGTGGATTTAGTGCTAAAAGTATTCTCCGCCAGTCAGTTAAAGAAGAAATAAATAAAACAATGGGATTCAAAAGTAGATGTAGGTAGGTTCTTTGTTTTAATTCGCAGTTTTTTTAAGTTCCCAAGTTGTTGTCCTGATAAAAAGAGGATTCTAGGCTACGGACGACAACGGCACGTTAAGCCATTCATCGCCGTTTCGTACTTATGTAAGAAGTACCCACTCAGACACAAGGTTATATTTGTCGTAAGTAAATATCGTCTCTACCTCTATTTTAATTGTAGGTATGCTTTATATATGGCATAGATAGGTATAGCACTCTATTGAAATATGAAACCAATGTAGGCCTTATGGCTTGAATTCTGGGTCAAAATGAAACACAAAACTTGTAAATAAATTAGTCTTATTAAGTACCTACATATCACTCAAATTTCACCCTCTTAGATCTCCTCTCCTCTGAACTAGTTTGAATTTCATTTTGACAACAACAGCAACAAAGAACTGATAAAATTTTGTAAAAAACATAGCACAGGATGTAAACCACCAAGGCTATGAAAGCTAGTACATCCAGCTGTAGTTGCTGGTACAGCGGAAGGTCGGCAGATGGCGTCCTAAGGTTTGGCGCGCCGCGGTAACGAGCTACGTACTCCGTCCAGTAGATGGCGTTTTCTAGTGGAGATATTGTGCGATCATGCCAGATTCTGGATACTTGTTTGGCGCGTTGTTGGAATCTGGAAATAAAGATTTTACATTAAATATCTGTAGACTTGAGTTAACACAGAATTTGGTAGAGCTTTTGAAATTGTAGAGCACAGTGCAAAATTAATATTTATGTAGGTAAATAATATGTACTGTGTTCAAGGGGTTAAATAAGTTTATAAAATGGGCTATTTTGTTTGGATGTGTGAATGGACTAAAGACATTATAAATCTCATAACACCTACATTTTATTGCACATTGCTTACGTCATTTCGTAAAAGCAAAGTAAGGCAGCGTAGGTAGATAAGTTTTGTGATACAAATTCTCGAGAAACATAATACACAGGTACCTAATATTATACCTTGCATTTTTAGCGGTTATTCACAAAGTATTATTCTTTTACACAGTCTTAATTTTTTTCCACATTATTGCCTTTCTTTGGGAGATTTCCATTACCGCGATCAAAAATAGCCCCTGTAATAATAAAATAATCATAAAGATTCAGTTTTCCCTACGTATTTCTGATTCCGTAATTATCGTGAAAAAAAGCAAAATTCAAAACGCCTACCTATCTTTAGGAATAATAATTTTACTAACATATTTGAAGGCCCCTCGTCACTCACCGTCGTATTTGTCGTAAACATGTCACAAAATTAGCTCTACTTATATGGACTTTTTTCAATTAGTGCTTTTATTATTCATTTATTTGACTTCTCATTTACTTATTTAAATTAAACTTATTGGGAATGTATAAACATTTGTATGTAAGAATAAGATTTTTACGAGAACACTTACGTGGGGTCTAAAACTTCATTTATAGCGTCCAAAAGGTAGTTCTTCTTCAAGTCCTGGTACGACACGATGGAGGCGATTCCAGCGTCCTGCAGAACCGCTGCGTTACCGTACTGGTCTCCGAAGAGTGGGATGGCCACCACTGGTATACCAGCGTCGACGGCTTCTATCGTGCTGAGTATACCAGTGTGGGAGATGAACACTTTCACGTTGTCGTGTTCTGGAATAAGCAACGTTTGTATTTTAAAATACTAATAAAATTAATTATGTAAATTGGTAACGACAGTTTGAAAGACGGGCTATTCTTCTTTACGTGGATGCATACCTATTTATCAATGAAAAGGTAGGGATCATTCAATTAAATAATGTGGGTTTACCTAATTTGCTTTACTTATTTAATTCGTTCATTAAGTAATAGTTAATTAAATAATATGGGTTTAACTGGCTTGCCTTTAATACGTAGGTACTTTCGTTCATTATTTAATACTTAATTAAATATTATGGGTTTAATTGGCTTTAATTACCTACTTTGCCTTAAGTATAGTCATGGTCAAAAAATTAAACGATTTTCCGAAATGAATTATAATTAAATTTGAATGGACCCTACGTGTTTAATTACATAATTAGATTAATTTTATTATATGTAGAGCATATTGCTGTCAGATGTTATTGCCAAATCATTTGCCAAAGATAAAAACGAGTCACAAAAGAAATGCATCGCTTATATTACACATAAGTTATCTTTTCACTAACTATTACTTTATCCCATGTATGCATTTGAGTGCAGAATTTATCTAAAGCCAGATCTGCATAGGATGCTCCTCTACAATCTAATTAACGCCTTATCCAATGCAAAACCCCGCAATTTTGTTTTCACTTTAAACACTTCATTCACCGTTCACGTTCACTCTATAGTTTAATGAGTACTTACTTAAAATGTCGTATTGAGGGAACCACCTCATCGTCATAACGTTCCTCGGCAGCTCCAAACTGCCGCCGTCCCATTTCCAGAGCACCCTTAGAGGCAGTTTGCTGAACGCTGATAACATCTCCTGTAGTTTATCCTTGGGTAGCGTGGAGTCTTTCACTGTGGAACCCAAATTGACGTAAATAACGCCATGTTCCGCCTCGTTTATAAACCTTTCGATTTCCTGAAATGAGCAAGCAGTTAGTTTCGGAAAAGAAGTGTTGGAGGCGTTAAATGAAATGGGGATTTAAGATAATTTTGAAATGCTTAGTATAAGGTATTCTACCAGTTATTAGGGTAGATAAACATATTTGATTGATTTCAATAATGTAGAGTCAAAAAAACAATATGTAGAGTCGCTACATCCTTTACGCAAAAGTTTTATAAAAAAATAAGTTGCTTTTAGGTATCAATATTGTTAATTTAAATGTAAATAAGAAGATAAATAAGTTGTATGTTTTAACTTTTTATTCAAATTGTATTCTCTAGCAACTTGTAGGTACTCGTGTATCGTGTCTTTAAAGTAGAGCTGCAATAATCACTATTGCAATATTAGTAGGTACGTTCAAGTAAATCAAGATTATAATGCTGCAGTAGATGTCAAGCTTCTTGCTTGCGCAAACAATGCAAATAAACAAGTCACTATCAGCCTATCAGTGTACAGTCTTAAAATAATATTATGATTGTTATCACCTACCTACATGGACAATACATGAGTCTCCCTACACTAGTCCTACTAACTACGCTCTTTCATATTTTTTTACTTTTAACCACATATTGTTTTATAGAATTGTTAGACAATCAAAAAACTAAAACTTACAAAATAACCCAGCTCATTATGTTATTCTAATTATGCGCGTTAAATTATCAGAGTCAGACAATCCACATTCCTCTAAATAACTCAATTCACGAGTTTATTTTAGGAATACCATCGCAAATTGATGGTATTGGTTGTATTAGTAAACCAACGATAACATCCCATAACCTTGGGGAGAACAAATAAAAACAATGAAGCAAGCTACGAAACGATGACCTAAACTGACTGAGGTCATTGTGACGTAGGTAGGTTCATCATTCTAATTTAATATCAGCCGTCCTCCCAAGGTCAAACTTGTTTTTGTTTTTGATGCGATTGTATGGCTACTTGTAGGTATTATCTATCCATTTGGCTTCATTCTCGCACATTTTAGAACATTCCTTATCTATACCCACCTACGGTTCTGTAATATATTCGTGAAACTACAAGTAAAAAAAATATGTGACATCATTTCTTAACTCAGAAGCTGACACATTACTTACCGTCGGTATAACTTTCGGTGGCCTAACGTGTATTCCTCCAATATCAATAACGTTATCTGGCCTGGCAATACCTCCGAATATCGATGGGTGTGTGTTTACAAACATCAAGCTAGCGTTGGAGGCTATGCTCTCAAGAGAAGGCAAACTGTCCCCAAGGTATTTGTACAGGTACACATGATCGGTCACCTGTGAACCGACGTAGTACACCCAGTTCGTTACGTGATACAACACATAACTCTTCAGCCGGTCGAAGAACCAAGGCTCTTTGCCGTAAGGGAGCCCGGCTTGGGTTACATACGCGGAATTGAAACCGATGCCCAGCCTGTTGTACTGCCATGGCTGAATCGGTTGCGAACTGAAAGCGATATATGGTGCACTCAAATTCGCGGCCAACGCCAGAGCACAGTCACTGTTATACGATTCCACTACTATCACGTCGAATCGAGGCCGAGTCCTTATCATGTGGAGCACGTAGTGATTGTTCATAAGAGTCTTGCAGTCGTCGTTGCCGGCTTTAGTTGCAACCAGAGTCTCGAAGGGCACTCGACTCACTTCGTTCACGATCACTGATTCGTAAGACAATCCCTTGTACACTAACGTATTTTCACTGAGTAACACTTCTTTGTAGGTTGCCGGTGCATCTGGTTGGCTGAAGTGGCTGACGAGGGTGACATCGTGGTTTCTGTTGGCGAGCTCGTAGAATAGACTTTTGTAGGTGAGGTAGTTGTTCCGGTCCAGCGATGGGAATATGCCCAGTATTCTGTAGCTGGTAGTGGTGTAAATTGCAGCCACGAAGTAGAAGACGAGCGCGATGTTTTGTGCCATTGCGGCTGCGACGCGTTCGTGCTGCTGAACAGTTAGATGGTCACTAGGCGTGAATGGAAGCCGGCTTGCGTGGTTATCTAATAATAGAGGTAGACGACATGAGGTAATCGTTCCGTTGACGGCGTGGTTTCGTAATAATCAGAAATATTCGTGAGTCTGAGTAAGCGTCATTGATCGTGACCTCGATTTGCATCGGAAGCGTGCTCGGTTCGCGCCGTCAAAACGCCTACTGAACATAATACCATTTCTCTGGAATGTTTATTTATGAGTTAATTAAATAATGACATGCACTGATATGGTTCAGTCGAATGCATTGTGTGATAAAACGGCCGAGTGACCTGACCTACCCCTGGGAATTTATTGTTGATGAGGACAATAGATTTTCTGCCTGATTTGTGGCAGTAAACACTTACTTAATGAGTGACAATCAGTTAATTACGATAGCACGCTCTTTTACTTGGCATGTTTACTTCTTACAAATAACAAAAGCAAATCGATAATGGCAACCAATATTAGATAGTTAATTCATACGATTAAAGTAGAAGGACTTTATCAGAACACACACCTAGATAAGAATTCGAATAATAACTTATGGAGAATTGGAGAAGTCAGTAACGCACAAACCACGTTGTAGAAAAGTTCATTACCATTTTTTCACTAAGGTACCTTATCGTGTTTCTAGAAACTTCCACTGACACGCCATCCATGACGTCATGTCTAGGGGGCTTAGTGTGACTTGTGAGTTTACATCAATTAACGTCTTCACTAGCGACAGGGTAAAAAAAATCATTAAATGTACCTATGTATGACGGATTGTACAGCGACCCTAGCCTAGCGGATACTATCAAGAACTAAAATCTTCATAGATTTTTTTGACGCGTTTACTAGTGACGTTCGATGTAAACTCACACTGACGCCCTAGTTCCCTTAACCATTCACGGAAAATTATTAAAATAATAAGTAATATTTTATGTAAGATGAAATAAATGCATTCGGATTCCATTCCTGAGTGTGACATAAGATAAAAGATTGGTAATAAGTTACGACCTGAGGTTACAAAACACGTCAAGGTGCCGTCCAAAGTCTATGATGCATTACACTTCCTTCGTGCAACGAACATGCATGTTCGGGCGATACGGAGTTTAAAAATAAAATGTTTGGGTTTTTGTCAATACATTCAATAACAAAACTTATTAAATGATCACTGTACCTAATTAGCACTAGTAGGTTTAATTACAGTAAATTATAATCATACCGCTCACATGTTCCGAAAACATTGCATCGCTAATATTATGCCAGATGTTATGAAAAAATTGGATCACTGGTTGATTACGCAGTAATTCTAAAATCCCATAACTACGAGTATTTCATAAGTCCTACGAGTATAGCGACAATTTAAAAAATTCAAATCGTGTATTAAGAATTTTCACGCCTACGAAGTTATTTTCAACCCACGACCTTCAGACCTTTGTAGGCACAAGAAAAGTAAAGGAAGTTTATCAAAGAATAAACGACCCAATACAAGTATGTTCCACTAAGAGCGATCTCAGCTTAAGTAATAAGCTATTTGCTCTTATTTGCATTACTCATTTCACAATACGTCAATTTTGGAACTACATGAATTCCAGTTTAGCTGCTGACCCTTCAGGGTTCCATGCTCCGGCACACATGTTGCTCGCAGAAGGAGCCAGCAGACTGGAAACAATTTGGCCGCTCCAGCCGGTTTAGAATACGGAGAAACAATGCCTATTGATCACTTTACTGTACTAATTATACTAATTAATGTGGTGTACGTAAAGATGTTTCGACATGTGGAATTAGAGGTTCTTACGCCACAAGTTTGCTAGTTACGGGTGTTGATTTTTATGCAATACGCGCATAATATGAATACGAACAATTCTTTAATGTATTTTGTAATCAAAAATTTAGTTAATAATGTAAAAAACAATTTATAAATCCTATGAGAACATTTTCGACTTCTACGCGGACGAAGTCGCGGGCAAAAGCTAGTCAATCAATAAAGCGATAACGATTAAAAGTTCTTGTTTGCTAATGTACTTTTTATTTAGGCACTTACATAAAAATACGAATCTTTGTTTAGCAACAGTTCTAAGAAGCAACTCGGGAAATTGTAAACCCTTTTTGCCTCTATTTGTAAGGCTTACTAAAATTCCATACCTACATGTATCTTATCTTATCCTTATATTATGTAGGTATAATCTTCAACTACACAAAGCACTTATACAACATTAGCTTGCAGTGATTTATTGAAATGTAAGACTTTCATAATCGCAATGAGTTCAACAGTCTGAAATATGGAAATCAAAAATCTGAAACTATAATCAAGTTTTGCGACTCCAAAAGCCGTTATCTCCCGTTTTATCTCGCTAATAAATTACTTAATATTATTTTTATCACTCAAAACAGGATTAAGCGTCCAAAGGGTCAAGTCACACTGAGCGATAAACTGACAGCCGGGACAAACGAAGCTACGGTTACATAAACTGGGCCGTGGCGTTACCGCGACGAGACACTATCGTAAGGTTTCCTTCGCAGGGCTGGCAATGGTGTGGTTAAATATAATAAATATAATTATTCTGCGGTCTGATCAACCATCGCCATGGTTAGGATTACATACGGACCGTACGGTAATGAAAGCAGTGATTCTTATGTAAACTTATGGGTGCAGTCAACACAGTGTTTTTGGTGAATTGAAGTGGAAATGTTTTCAAATCAGTTGCTATGCTTTTGACTTTAAAGTAGGTATCTACCTTATCTTAATGATTTCAAGAGGTGATATTTTTTGCTCATTGTATTGCATGGGAGAAGAGAGTGATGGAAAATGTTAAATAATATTGTCAAGTAAGGCAAGTTATTTTAGAAAAGCCAGAATTTTAGTCCTTATGTTGTAAGAAGAATTTCTCCGTCTTCTTACCTGTTGAACATACATAGAGTTCCGCATTAGTTTACCAGAAAGGGCAGCCTTGGCAACTATTTTTAGTGATTTTTGCACCGTGCCAACCCTACGGATTGATAGAAAAAGTCCCAGACTGTTTGGATTAGCAGGAATTATGGTCTTTTCGCCGTTGTTTACGTGTACTTGCCCTTACATTACACAACGTCAGCTCTGTCTGAAAGCATGGATTTAGATGCTCCCGATAAAGATGAAAATCTGGGCTATTTACATAAGAAAGTAATTTGCGTACCTACATTGTTCCAACCAAAAAACTTAGAACAGGCCGTTCTTCGTCAAAAATAGATGTTTAAATTAAAGTTACCTACCTACATAGGTAAACCAATCGCTGAAAGAACGATAATGTTTTCAAAAGTGATACAATAAATTGTGTAAAATAAGATTTTTGTATCCCATTTTATTCAGTGTCTGTTTTTCACGTTTTTATTTTTGTTCCTTAAAAAGACGTCGATTTGATTACTTTTTGGATCCTTGATTCGGAGCATATTTTGTATTCATTCTTAAGTTATTATAATTTTTCTCTAAAAGCAACGACACACCAAAAGTCCTAACAAACCTCATAATACAGACCCTCATTCCATTATCAAGCAACTTCTTTATCAGTGGTCCACAATAAAAAGCCTCTGAAAAAGATATCTCGGGATCCGAAGGCTGTCTATTATATTCGCATTTGTAAAAGGCATTAGTCTGAACCCTCGACAACATAAAAATGTAATTACAAGGAGCTTCGAGCCACTTAAATATAGATTTACCCTTTGCAGCGATGTGATAGGGCCGGAGGTGTGAGATCGATCACAGACTAAATGCATTATAGACTACCATGGAAATGTACTACGCCAATTTGGGTATGCATTTTATTAAGATGAATTTGAATTTTAGGAAGTTCACACTCAAGTTCAATATTTAATTAAAAGATACGATCAGTTAAAAGGAAATCTAAATAACTTTGCATGGACCACACGATTAGACAATCGATTTTTATATTTACTCATGATGCTTGATTGAATTTTTTACACGTTTTCGTTTATGTTGATGTCAATACATAATAATAAATACGTACGTAATGAGTGCATATTAGATACTTATTCACAAATAAGCCTTCTCTTAGCCTTTTTTAGTGATTTATAAAATCTAGGCTAATGCATAAAATCTATTCTAAACTGATATAGAACCTAAGGCATCTTTTTGGCTAAGTTGTCTGTGCAGAAGATCCATCATATCGCGATTGTGCCCTGCTCAATTATCCCCTTCTCCAAACTGATAACTTGATTCATTTCTCAGGTCGGCGAAACCGATTTGTTTATTTTCAGGTGCTGCGGTTTTGTTGGCAGATGTATTGGAAGAATTAACGCGATTTTGATGGATTTCATCGGATTTTCCTAATACATCGACAAATACAATTTGTTCAGGTACCTACTATGTTGTTTGTAGTATTTCTTCAAGTAGGTAGCTCTTAGCACAGTATTTTTTACAGTAGGTAATCTTTAAATTATTGTTAGTCAGTTAGTAATTCTTGTATGATGAAAATGTTGTTTATTTGGTAAGAGTTATTGTTCGCGGATCCATGATGCGAATGTAGTGACCCTGGAGAATCCAGATGGCAGGTTTCGCTGGCAACCATCGCGCGGCGTGAAGGAGCTGATACCGATCTGAAAAAACAGTTTTCTCTGGATATTAGATGTACCTACTTCATAAAGACATCACGTTAGTTTATTATACCCATAGTTGTTTTATACCTTTTGATGCATGCACAATATTTACATGAGTGAGTATCTTTGAATACTGGCTAATTGTAACCATACTACTTGTCGTACTAATTACGCAGTTTGCAAGGTATAGATCGTTTCTTCCGCAAAGACGCGCCCCACCAATTTTTGCTCGAGGGAAGCGCGGGGTGCGGGGAGTTTGATTCGAACAATCCGAGTGTCATTTAATGTAGTGTGCGTAGAGTGCACTCATGGATAATTTAGCGTGTACCGATAACACTTAAAGACATTAGCGGAAGAATGGTGGGGCGCGTCTCAAACGAACACTAGGTACTGTCTATTTAATAATTACATGTTCAATCCTTTCAGTGGTTACTTCAGTCGCAACTTAATATACCAGACTTTATGTGACCATTGTCGGTATGAAATTGTGAACTCAAAGCTAATAAGTAGAATAGGGATGTTTCCTGGGTCAAAAAGCAAGAGTTTTAATTAGTCCGTCAGTTAACTTATCAAAAAATACTCTACACGTATTTTTCACTTTTTCAAACTAATGAAAATTTAAAGAGATAAAGCGCGCCAAAGCACAGAATAAGTAATAGTACAGGCCAAAGTTCATAAGAAGAGGCCCGTGACGTCCATGAGTGCATAAAAGTGCCGCACTTTGTGACGTCACGCGGAACTTCAACGCACCATAACTATGTAATTATTTGTTAGATTGATAAATAATAATATAGGTGTCCAATATTTTTTGATATTAAACATGACGGCCTAAAAATTTTTTTTTAGGAAACTAGCCTATTGTTGTAAAACTTACAAGCACCCTCCTGTTATTGACAGTAGCGACCAAAGGTCCTCCAGTGTCCCCGAGACAGGTGCCGACCCCACCAGCGCCGCTGGTGCACATATGACTGGGCTGGATGACGCCGCCGTACGTACTCGCGCACTCGTCGTTAGGTATCACCCTCAAGTTCACGGAACTTATCATTTGGGTCAAGCCGACGGAGTCACCTGGAATGGTGAATTAGAATCCACAAGTAAGTGGGTAATTCCAATCAAAAAGGAGGAAAGATAAAATTTACAGTAAAAGGTACAGTTCTTCAGGTGAAGTTCTCGAAAATTAAGAAAGACCATACAAACAGTCATCAAATCATCAGTATTTTAGTTTTTACTCTCCATGCCAGGAGGATGATCTTCTATAATTTACTGAGGCAAAGGGAGGGAGGGAGAAGGATACAAACCAAATTCCCAAAAATACGGAAGGTACGACTAATTCAGGAAAGGGTATTTTATTTAATATTGATATGAGATAGTTACCATCTCTAGTGATTCCAAATCCGGAAGCTAGACCAGTTGTCCCGACGTAATTACTGTATAGCTCACTACCCGTGGGTAGGTTGATCGGTTGAATGAACACTGAAAAGATAATTATGAAGGTAGGTTAGAAAGTATCATCATCCTAAAAGACGTCCTCTGCTGTCCAAAAGATTTCCAGATTGGGCGTTTGGAAGCAGCTGCATTCAGTATACTTCTAAATATCCGAAAACAAACATCAACTTACAAGAAAAGCTAATCCTGGGGATAAAGACAACCGCAACGTCATTAGCCAAGATCCAGGGGTTGTAGCCAGGATGCATAGTCACACCAGTGTAGACCACTCGAGTGCCGCCAGCGAAGAGGAAGTTGGAGCCGACGACGACGGTGATGGAGTTGGCGATGTTGTTGCCATCGTTGTTGCAGTGAGCTCCAGTCAGGATCCGAGTGTCGGAGATGATGGTGCCTCCGCAGACTGAGGTCTGGATCAGCCGGAACGTGATGATGAGGCCGGCCTGGATAAAAATGATAAGACTTTTAAACTTCACGATATAATTAAAGATAGTAGGTATAGAGAAGAAAAACACGAATACAACTGATACATACTTTTCACTGTAAATACAATCAACTGTTATGATGTCTGATTGCTATACAATTTATTGTAAAATATGTATAGTGCCTCACCCCGATATTTACTTTTCGTTCTATTTAGCTTACATAGAAAACTAAATTTGAGATTTTATACTGAACGAAGAACGAACCAAATTACCTATAAAGTGTGACTAACCTGGTATGGAACTGCAGCGACAGTGGTGGTCGAACCTCCAGCAACTCTTTGCTCATTTTCCGCTTTTCTTATCCTGTCTGCTTCATGCATTCCCACCTTTAAGTGGTAGTCATAAACGCCATTATCCGGCGGCACCGTCTTTCCCAAAGCACTGCATGCTAAAAGCAACAAAACCAATGAAATCCCGCGCATCTTCGTTGCTGATATTCGCAACAATAAACCAAATTACATCATGCACCAATTTTTTATGAAAGGCATTAAAATTATCTAAACCGATTAATCATTTATTAATCTTTTAGGTTTAACAATGAAGTTTAATTCCATGCGATTGCAATGGTTGCTACGAATTCTTAATCGGCAGATTTGTATTTAAAATTGTTATGTTATGTATTTGCTAATCAATCTTATATGAGTACCTCTCTATCTTCTAAATATATAAAAGGAGAAACTGACTGACTGACTGACAGATCAACGCACAGCCTAAACGGCTAAACGTAGGCACTTGAAATTTGGAAGGGACGTAGTTTAGGTACCGTAGAGGTGCACTAAGAAAGAAATTCCCGAAATTCCCACGGGAACGGGAGTTAGCGGGAAAATCCTTTTGTATGAAAAATCTAAACCGCTTAAGTTAGACGCTTGAAATTTGGTATGCAGGTACCTTAGTAAACTTAAAGCTTAGGTGCAACAGGATATCGCAAAATTCCCACGGGAACGGGAGTTAGCGGGAAAAAACATATGTATGAAAAAATCTAAACTGCGTAAGATAGACGCTTGAAATTTGGCATGCAGGTACCTTAGTAAACTTAAAGCTTTGTTACAACAGGATATTGCAAAATTCCTACGGGAACGGGAGTTAGCGGGAAAAAACATTTGTATGAAAAAAGTCTAAACCGCTTAAGATAGATGAAGGGGGTAAAACTGGATCCACGCGTATGAAGTCGCGGGCGGCCGCTGGCTATCATCTATCTATATTAGGGTGGTCCTTATTTTGCGACTTTTGAATTATCCCCGGGGCACTTTCTCATTCGATTATATACCTCTAAATATGAAATTAGCTTTTTTTGATTTTTTTTTGTTAAGATTTAGAGGTCGCTACCAGCTGTCAAAGTCCGTGCCGTGTGGGGACGGCCGTNAAAATACCCAATAAATAAAGGTCAAACAAGGTCACGCCGCCGACGCCGCCGCCGCCGAAGTCAAAAAGTCGGCGCGCCGCCGCCGACCAATTTTATATCGGCGCCCACCTCTAATAAGTAGTGCTTACTTATTGTCAAAGTTGTAAACTTGCGATTGTTAAAGTTTCAAGAGTCTTGTGATTCAATTGACTCTTTCTTTAAATGTATGGATAATTCTATTTTGAAAAATGGTAAACCATTTAAAGAAGTACGTTGAACCACAAGCGATCAGAACTCCGAGGAGAAACCAAACAATACAAACAAGTTTCTATCTACCATGAAATGTGTAATCACTGAAGCGAATGTTATGGCCCAGAAGTTGTAACTTTTCACCTTTGCATAAAACTGCATTTTTTAACAAACTTTCCGAAGGGGACTCGTTGTTACGACCATGTTGATATTTTCTGTGGGTTAGAACTTCCCAGACTCGTAAATAAGACTCATAAAGATTTGCGCTAGGGGTTTTTTATAAATCGTTTAAAGGTTTGGGGGTTTCGGTTCATAAAAAGTTTCAATTAGAGTGCTTCAGTGCCGCACGCATTGATTGGATCAGAGTTACTTAAGTAGTTGCCAAAAATAGTTATTTACATAAAGGTGCAAGGTTCTATGTTTACTTAATGGTGTTACACTACTCGTACCTACTATAAATTTAAAAGAGTGGACTTACCTAGTAATTTGTGGTGTAGGATACACCGGTGTACACCGTTCAATTAAACATATTTTTGGAAGACGATTTGATTTCAGATTTCGTAACTAATTTCCTGTTGTAGATTTGTTATCTAATGTTGTTGATGGGTCTCCAGTCATGTTTACCCAAACTTGAAAGTCAAAGCTCTAGATGAGGGTAAGCTCTGGAGGCTCCGGTAAGTTTTCAAAAGCGCTTAGCGCCATCCCGAGCGGATATCGAGATTGTAGTGGCATGGCTAAGTCAACTTGCCACAGGCAAAGTTTTAGGGCTTCTTTGAATTAGTAACGTTAAATAGCAAATGTAGCTAAATTGAAATAAGTCCAAACTTGGTTTTGATCGCTTCCTTAATGATTTTGTGCTAAAAATTTTCACGACATGTGCCCTTACACTGTGTCTGTTTATAGGCTTAGGTAAATTCACTTTGGTTTTATCACGAGCTGCCCAAATCAATGTCTGAGGTTGATTCTACACCGGCTTGCTACGGTAACTTTGTTGGGCATTTTCAAGGGACATTTCAAACACAATCACCAACCTTTGATTCTCCACTTTCGGGATCTTCTGTCTACTAAAAGGGGTAACCCTCATCAGATGCCAGGGAAATAATATTCGACCAAGAAATCAGAGTTGGCTACTTTACCTGCTTGCATCCGAACTTGGGGTCCGAACCGCTTCACAGCTTCCACCGCAAGCACAGCTGACGCTTGATGCAAGCCGTGCGCGAGGAGCTGAGCCAGTGTGGCGGCGAACGCCACGCCCCACCCCCACCCGCCTTCGGGGTAGTAGTGGCGCGTGAGTGTAAGCAGCTGCCTCGGGTCGAGCTTCGTCTGCCGCGTGGGCGCACCGCTCGCTTCCAGCACTAGCGGCAACGACCTCGTGCGGAGCAGCGGCGCGCCGCCCGACGACCATGACTCTTCCATCAAAGCGCGCGCGCATCATGTGCCGACCGCATCACCGTCGCGCGTACACACTCCCGCTCATGTCCGAATATCCATCGTCACTAAACTTTTGTATGATTTAACCTAGTTTAGTATGATAACTGGTCTGGAGTTTCGTGGGTTCTGTTAAAAGTATAAGTATGAGCCTATTGCATTTGCGTAAACCTGATCACTGTTAGTTAACTTATCAATCAAAATTTAAATAAAACCTTGGATTTTATCTTTTGGAAGTGTACATAAGTAAATATGTACTTTTGAAATCTGTCAAATCCCCAATCTAATAATTCAAGAGACGAAAATAACTCTTCCATCAAATCGCGCGCATCATGTGCCGACCGCATCAACCGTCGCGCGTACACACTCGGGAGCTCATGTCCGAATATCCATCACTAGATTTTGTTTGTTGAGTAGTTTAGTGAGATAACTGGTCTGGAGTTTCGTGGGTTCTGTTAAAAATAGTATTGTGAACCTACTGCATTTGCGTAAACATGATACTTGTAATTAAAAATAAGGTATTAATATAAATAAGTCGTCCTTTATTTATTTAGGACTAGATAGTTGGATGGAAGACTTAATATAAACTTCATTTCAGCATACGAATCGGTAATATTCAAATTGCAGCAAATCCTCAATCAACTAACAAGAGACAAAACGTGCTGATGCTTCAAATGTGAGGCTCACATCATAGTTTCAGGACTAAGCTTTTAATTACAAAGGCCTCTGGCGATAAATTCCCTACGAACAATGCGAAGTAGTTTATAAAACAGTATTGAGCGCGATACTGACATACCCGCTGTCCCGCTGTGCCATGATTCTCTGATGCCGGGAGGCGGATTCGGCCCGTACTTACATAAATCTTCGTGAGCGGCATGTCAGTGCCTTAACGCATTAAATCTTAGCGAAATTTTACGCAGACTTTACCAGGGTTTACGAAGATCGCCCTACAAAGTTCCAAATTAATTTTCGCTTTAATTGTAAATTTATCAAGGCTGGCCATTGAGGGTTTTCGTATTTTAAATGTGTACATAGGCTGATGGCTTTTGTAAATCAATAAAGATTACAATATTTTTTTTTGTTTTTTAGATTTTTGTCGATACTACGCTTCCACGCAATCTATGCACATGTCGTGGCAGCTTTTAATTAAGGCTACACTATAAACACGTATTGTTTTCTATGTTTTTTTTCCTGTTCATTGTGTATGTCTTGTTAGCTGTCCTTAAATAAATAAATAAATAAATAAATATGGGCCAGAAGATAACCGTCCGGGATTTCATAATGTAAACGAATTATCTTTAGTACCATCAGTAACTAGTAGTATTTATATTTTGACCTGCACTTTATGAAATGGTGAGTAAATAACATAATTTCAGCTGATTGTTAATATACGATTATTGCACAAGTAAGTTCTACAATATTATATACCAATTTTACCTTGACAAATGAAAGTTTTAACTGGATAAAGTATGTGGGGGATATTTCTACATATAAGACTTATACGGTGGTGGAATGTAACAGACGCTGACATATCTAACGAAAATCTTGTAAAGGAGTTACGATTCACGCGTTATTTGCTTTCAACGTACTTATATTTCATTTGGAGATAATGTCCTCTCGTATTAATGTTCCACGTTGAAGTTATGGCCTGTTAAATGGCATGGAAACCGAGAAGATGTCTGATAGGCAGAACTTGTGGTAGATCTAGATAGTCGCGGGATTAGATAGGGTCTTATTTGTTAGGATTTATCGCGAAACATTATGGCAAAAAGTTGTCTGCCGGCGTATTTGCCGAGTCTTGCTTATTGTCTGTGGAGAGTTGTTTGTTAGTTTTTTTATTTGCATAGACTTTTTCAGTGTAACAAGGTTATTGTTAATGGGAAATTATAATATAAGACCTAGGAGGTCTAGAATGGGTATCATGAAGACTTGTTTATGTTGTCAGGAACTGCTTAAGTGAATCCAAAAATAAACCGTTAGAGGTTTTTAAAGTTTCTGCTCTAAATTGAGTCGAGTCTTTGGTATCAGATGCCAATTAAAATTTCACCGGTCTCCAACGTGTCCACTATTCCATGAAATATTAGGGCCATAAATCTTATTATGCTGTATGGTATTGAAAGATACGTGACGATAGGATTAATAAGGCCGTAAAACAAGAACTTGTTACAAACATGACAGGGGTGCGACCGTCTTCAAATAGTGGACCTGTGACCTCCGGATCTATTTCATCCTATGAAGTGGAACCTATTTCCTATGTTTTCAGGCAAATTTCAGAAAGTGTCAAAACTTTGGGAGCATTCGCTGGACGACGAACAGGAAATGTTGAATTAGCTTTATTAAAGCTAGAAGTTATTTCATTTGATAGAACTAACTTTTGGCGTCAAGCAATTGTAACATTCACATTTTCACAGTCTTGTACGCAAAAACGTACAAAAATAGAG